CGAGTTATTAACGGATAAAAATTTACTTTGTAATTAATAATTTTTAAGTGGTCGGATACTTTTGCTAGGTGAGTGTAGCACTCATACGGAATACGGCATTCCACACGGCATACGGCATCCCATACGGCACGTGCCCATGCTGTATGCCATATGGGTGTCGTAACTCCAGGGTTTTCATATGTCTACACCCCTAGTTCTAACGACCTAACTTGTATGCGAAATTGTCTCTCATATAAAGTTAAATCATTTTAAATTTATTAAATAGGGTAGTTATTTTATTTCCATATATAGAAAAATATTGAAAATTATCAAAAAGACAAAGTACAAGAAAAATTAAAAACATATTTTGAGAAATTGAAAAATCTCCAATTTAAGATTATTTATTGTGTCGCAGTTCACCTTAGAAATTAGATAATAATTTATTATCACCAATAAAAATTAAAAGTGATCTTAAAGACTAAATTTAGATAATCAACTACAAATTCTATTTGCCAAAAATTGAGCGAATAATTAACGTCTAAAGTCCAAACGTTCGTTCGAAATTTAATGTATAAAATTTAAGCGTTTATTGTTAGAGCTAAACTTTTAAAGTCTATTACTTAGTATTTTTTTTAATGTAAAGGTACTGACTTTATGTGGTGTTTGATCTGATTTTTTTTTTATGCGAAATATTTTTAATAAAATTTGATCATTTATTCGTGTCTATTTTTATTGTATTACAATCTGCGTTTGAATTTTAACAATTGATTTTAAAAAAGCCAACAACTTATTCATAATATATACAAATGATGCATTATTATAACGATGTTAATAACAATACTGAATATGAACGTGAAAGATAAAAGAAGCCCCATTAAACATTTTTATTTTTTTTATTACGAGATGAAGATGGTGATAAAGAGAATTCATTGAAAGATTATTTTTAGAAATTAAATAATTCTAGAATGCTAAGCAAAGATAACAAAAATATAACCTTAAAGAGATAACATTGAAAATAATTAAAACCGAAAACAAAGAAGTGGCTTATTAGCAAAGAAATGGCTCATTGACAATAAAACGAAATTAATATAAAATAAAAGAAATGGCTTATTTGATTATGACAATAAAGCCGAGCAATTTTTAATCGAGCCACATAACAATTTTTAACGAGCCACAGATTATATTCCTTTTTTACGAGCATTACTATTTTTTAATAATTACAATATCAACCAACCTTATCTTGACTATATGATGTCAAAAAGTTATATAAACCCCGCCAATCTCCCCAAGTTTTGATTCCTCACTCACGTCGAATAAACAAATAATAAACAAAAATAAACAAAAATAAACAAAAACAAATTCAAGATGAATTCAAAACTCGTCTTCTTCTTGTGTGCTTTATTTACGATTGTTCTTTTAGCAAATGCAGAACCTGGGGTCCACAAACGTGACCCTGAAGCAGAGGCTGCCAACTTCAAACGTGACGCCGATGCCACTGCCGACCCATACTACTACTATTATTATTACCCATACTACTACTACAAACGTGACCCCACTGCCAACCAACAAAAGCGTGATGCCGATGCTGATGCCGACCCATACTACTACTACTATTATCCATACTACTACTACAAACGTGACCCCACTGCCAAACAACAAAAGCGTGATGCCGATGCTGATGCCGACCCATACTACTACTACTACTATTACCCATACTACTACTACAAACGTGACCCCACTGCCAACCAACAAAAGCGTGATGCTATTCCTAATGCTGATGCTACTGCCGATCCTTACTACTACTACTACTACTACTACTACAAGCGTGATGCCAACCAACAAAAGCGTGATGCCGATGCCACTGCTGACCCATACTACTACTACTACTACTACCCATACTATTACTACAAGTCATAATTCTTTTACTACTAAAGAGATCTATTTTTCAATTTTTTTACTATTTGCCCATAGTATGGTAATGAAATTAGAAATTCCAAAGAACACAATCTCCACAATTTTTTCTCTTAAAAAAAATCTGTAAATAATGTAAATAGAAAATTTGGTTCATTTTGTAAATATTCAAATAAATAAATTAATCAATTTTATTGTTCTTGGAACATAAACAATCTAAATAGAACAAATTAATAAATTGGAAATATTCTAAAAATAAAAATTAATTTATTCTGAAATATAAACAGTATCATCAATTTTCTTGTACTAACTGTTCACCAAAAACTCTAAAAATTGATATATTGAACAAATATGCTCTTATTCAGATAAAACATCTCTTTTTATTAATAACAATGATATATGTTACGAAAATTAGTAAAATATTATGTACATTTAACCTTTATTTTTTTTTTACTTATGAAACAAAAGCAGGTTTATTTTTTATTTCATAATTAATATTTATTTTCTTATTTTTATTATTAAAATAAGGACTTCACTAATTTACAACTTTTTCAATAATTCAGAAATTATTAAAAAATATGAGATTTGATTTTCTATTTTCTATTCTATTTACTTAGATGATTTTTTTGCAATCCTTTTAACTATTTTTCTAAATAAACGCAACTAATGTTTATCAGTCGTAGTAAAATTTTTTATTTAGATTATAATAAAAACTCAAGAATAATATTCAAGCTAAAGTTGTCACCACCAGGCAAAATTACATAATTCCCTGATCAACCCTAACTTAGCCCAATCACTTGTGAGCTTCTTTCAAGCTAGGTAATTCACTTTGATGAAAGCACCAAAATATGAAAATTTTGTGAAATGTATACTCTTGAGAAAAAATGTTTATACATCTTTGTATTGCAAGCTAGAATAGCGAAAATTAATGAGTATTTCTATACCTGTTGAACAATTTATCTTAATCAACTTAAAGATAATTTACTTTAACAAAAATTTGACTGGTGACTGACTTTTCTAACAAGCAGCATATACCAAATTGCGATGACCTTTTTTTCCCGTGGGTACCAGTGTTACTCATTTCAGGCACATATTATTACGAAAAGAAGCAGCACAAAAAGCTCAGGAAGAAAGAAAGTAAGTATCAACTCATTACTTATTGAATGAAAAGAGTTGATTATTTTATCTTTGTTAATATTATAAAGCGAATGTTTAACGTTTATTGTTTTAATGTTAATATCAATATTATTTTTTTATTACTATTTGATTTGTATTAATTCACAATAATCCAATATTACAATGAACATTATATTTTTAAAATAATAATAAAAATTACTTTAATATTTTGTTACTCGATCTTCAACTTCTTATAATCGATATATAATCTATCTTAACTTCCTAAGTGGGAATAAAAGAAAACATGTATAAACAAATATTGGCGACCCGTTTGTGTAACAATATATTTGTTTTCTTTAATTACTTTCCAATTATGAGTCTACACCTAAAAGATAATGAATAATTTTGCGTGCGACGTTCATGAACAAACCACAAACTGAATTATATGTTACGCAACAGATATATTATCGGACAACAGGCTTTTTATATTATTGACAAATATTGTTGACAATATTATTGAACTCTTGAAAATCTATTTTATTTTTTTATTTAGAAAGGTATTTTTTTTTTTTTTTTTTGAATTATTCAAATTGCTATTGTATTCTTCAGAAGTTTATTACTACTTCAATTTTGTAAAGATTACTTTTTTTTTATTGTTTGAATAAATTAAATATTAAAGTGTAAATATTTATAAAATTATTAAAATTATTGACATATTTTCTCTACCCTTATGTATGTAGTCTCAAATAAAACTCGTTAATACAAATACATACAGATCAAAGATGAAATTTATATTACTATTCACAATATTAATGTCGATTCTGGTCGCGGAAGTTTTGGGTTCCGAAGTGATAGTACTGGGATCCAAAGATTTTGATAAAAGAATTGAAACCGGAAGATGGTGGGTATTACGACTACACGTTTTTTATATTTAATTATATGTCTTTTTTTTTTAAAAAAGAAAAAAAAAATTTAAAGGATGATTTAAAATCTGTAACAATCAAAAGGTTCGTCAAATTCTACGCACCATGGTGTCATCATTGTAAAAATCTAGGTAAGATCCTCGGATATATCATTATTTTTATAAATTTTCTCATTTATTTAATTAATTTTAACTAATTTATCTTCTTTACTATTATTGTAATTAGCACCTACCTGGATAAAATTAGCCGAAGAACAAGGCGAATATCTCGGCACTAAAGAATTTTATATTGCTGATGTTGATTGTACACTTAATGGAGGTACATATTAGAGGAGAGAATGTTGGAGAGTACGTTATAGAGTATTAAATATTAATAAATAAAATTGTTAATAATTTCATTTAGATGTTTGTGATAGAAATGGTGTACAAGGTTATCCATCATTATTTCTGTAAGCAATATTCTGATTTTAACATTATTTTACTTTTAACATTATTTATACCTTCAATAGACATATATCTAAATTTATATCTTTTCTTCATAATTATTTTTTAATATAATAATGAACCAGATTTGATAATGGAAAAAAAATTAAATCATATAATGAAAATCGAAGTTTAGGAAATTTGATAAAGTTTAGTAAAGCAAAAGCCGAGGAACTTTATACCGAACCCGAACCCGAACCACCGGAGAATGTTGTCGTCCCTGAAGAGGATATTGAAATAGATCTTAAGACTCATGAGATTGATAATTCTCTAGTATTACCTAATCCGACTGGAACAGTTATTACGCTTACCAATAGTAATTTTGATGATTTAATAGGTTCTGGAATATGGTTTATTAAATTTTATGCTCCTTGGTGTGGTCATTGTAAAAAATTGGCTCCCACCTGGGAAGAATTGGGTAAAGTATTGAAAAACAAAGTAAATGTTGGTGAAGTAGATTGTACTACTACTCAAGGTAAATAAAAATTATAAATTTTCTTTGTTTTTTTTTTTTTAAAAAAAAAAATATAATTTATATAACTAAATTTTATGAATATTAAATTTTATTTTTTATAAAAATAGATTTATGTAAAAGATTTAGAATAGAAGGATATCCAACTTTGAAATTGTATGTTTATTTATGCCTGACAATTCCGTAATTTACATTATAAAGTGATATATATATATATATATACCTAATTTATATATAATTAATTAATTATTTATTTTTCTAGGTTTCAGAGTGCTGACGATAAAATTGATTACAAAGGATCACGAAAATTACAAAGTTTACAGGAATTCGCCGAGAAAGTTACAACTGTTCGAATAACTGAAATTACTGCCGAAGATCTTGAGGAAGTCAAAAAGAATAATGATGTTTTCTTTATTTATTATCATGATAATTCAACACCTTATAAAATTATGCGTACTATGAAAATATTATCTCGATACTTCTTCACGGTAAAATTCTACTCTAGTAAAGATAAAAACCTAAAATCCACGTTAAAGATTGACAAAGTTCCCACATTGGTGGCCATGAAAGATGGTATTTATCCTGCTTCATCTATCGAAGATTTCAATGATCGTTTGGAACTTAAGGATTGGATTCAAACGGAAAAATATCCTCTTGTTCCCGCCGTGACTTCAGAAAATTATGAAGATATTTTGAGTGGTACTAGATTAGTAGTTTTAGGTATATTAGATCCTAATCAACCTCAAACTTTTGTTACAAATCAAAATTTGATGAAGGAAGTTGCCAAAATTTATCATCAACAAGCCAAAGAACGTTTATCAGGAGATGATAAACATGTCATTTTTGCTTGGTTGGATGGTAATAAATGGTCCGATTATGTTTATGGTGTTTATGGATTGAGTCAAAATGATTTACCAAAAGTAATAATTTCAGATCCAACGGTAAGCATTTTTTTTTTTTTGTTTTTTATCATATTTACAAAATAATATAAAAAATATAATAAAAATATATAATGTATTTTAATTTTATATTATAAATATTTTAAATTATGTTCTATTAGGAAAATAAATATTATGATACTTCAAGAACAGGAGAAAAGATCTCATTTGAAAATAAAAAACAACTTCTTGAATCTATTTACGATTCTAAGACTGGATATCTCACCGGCAAGAGTACTCTTGGAATTATAGAAAAGACATTTGATGTAAATAATTTTTTTTTATCTCTCTGTGTAATTATACTAATTAATTTATTAATTAATTTATTTATAATTTTTGTAGAATGTATTTACATTTGGATCTCAAGCACAGGTAAATATAAATATAAATATATAAATATATAAATATACAAATATATAAATATATATAAATATATAAAATTTATTTAAACAATTATATTAATAATATATCTTTTATTTTCTTTACCTATAACAGGAAACAATATTTAATCATCCCCTTATTTCTTTATCATTCTTTGTATTGATTGGTGGTATATTGTGGAGATATTGTTCCCCATTAACTAGATCTGATTACGAAAGAGATTATGATAAGTTTGAATAATAATAATTAAATTATAAATTGCGGTTATATATTACAGGCGGGTAATCATAGATATTATTTGGTTATTTAATTAAATAAAATTTTTAGAAAAATTTAAATTCTCAAATCACATGATAATTTTGCGTAACAAAATCCAAATATATAAAGATCAAACAAAACAAAAATGCCAGAAATAAAAACTTTGTTTGAAACCTATGCGAGCATATATATAGTTGGTGACTCGCCGTAAGGCCGAACATAGAACAATTCATAACTCATTTGAGTTCTTTTTTCAAGAATAAAATGAGTTTCGATAATGGTCTTCGAATTTTTATGATCAAACTTTTTCCCAATAGCTTTTGGAATTTTCTTTTTTGATAAAGGCCAAGACCAACAAATTCATTTCATTTTTTATTTATTTTATTTTCATGAGCTTTTTTTTAGATTTGCTTTTATTTTCAAACCGGAATTAAAACGATTTTGGAGTGATTTTTTATAGAGTTTAATAAATGAATTAATGTTAAATACATTTATATACATTATATTATTATTATTTTTTTTTATTATTATTATTAAAAAATTATTTTATATTCCAAAAAAAAAAAAAATACAGTAATTAAAATAATTTTTATTAAAAACGCTATAAATCTGTAATCATTCATGCATCCATTTGGGTTCACGTTTCTCTAAGAATGCATTCATTCCTTCCTTTTTATCATGCTACATAATTTATAATTTTATTAATTAATTATATATATATATATTTATATTTATATCAAATTAATTTAATGAAATTAATGAAATAGTTTGAAATAATTTGAAATTATTGAAATTATTGTTACATACCAAAGAAAACAGACCGTAGAATAATCTTCTTTCGAAATGATTTCCTTTACTTAGCGATAATTCATATGCTTTTCATAAATAGACAACAATTAGAATCAGAATTAAGATTAGAATTAGAATTAGGATTAATTAGAATTAGAAAAAAAAAAGAATTCATTAAATATATTATTTATTTATTTAAATATATTATTCAAATATTGATTACCTTGATTAACTGATTCTTTGGCAGCTTGAATAGAAGGTTGAGAAAAACTTGCAATCTTTTGACCAAGTTTAATAGCTTCTTCAAGTACTTTATCAACTGGGAATACTTTACTAACTAATCCCCATTTTTCAGCTTCTTGAGCTGTAAAATTTTTACCTGTTAATATAATTTCCATAGCTTTAGATTTTCCGATTGCTCGAGTAAGTCTTTGAGTACCTCCTGCACCTATAAAACACAATATATAACGCAATATAAATACAATAATATATATATATATATTATTAAAGAAAGATAAAAAATCAAATAAATTTGGAATACCTGGAATGACACCAAGTTTAATTTCGGGTTGACCAAATTTAGCGGTTTCCCCAGCATAAATTATATCACAACTCATAGCTAATTCACATCCACCACCTAACTATTTCATATTTCATATAAATTTATAATTATAATAATCAATTTTTTTTAAAAAAGGTATATTAATTATAATTAACAAAAATAAAAATTTATTTACCGCAAATCCATTAACAGCAGCAATAATAGGTTTCCTGATTTCATTAATCTTTCCCCAGTTACCAAGAAAATTTGTTTTATAAACTTGAGCGAAATTTTTATCAACCATTTCTTTAATATCGGCACCAGCTAAATATAAATTCAATAAATTAACATATGAACGTGATCAAGAATGAATTTTTTTCATTATGATGATGATATGATGATGATGAATTTCAAGATGATGAATATGACTCAAATAATTAATAAATAATATGATGATAATAATAATAATAATAATAATTTATACAAACCAGCGAAAGCTTTTTCACTTCCAGTAATCACAATAGCCCCAACATTTGGATCATTATCAAATTTTTCCAATACATCATTAAGCTCGTGAAATAAATCAGTTGATAAAGCATTCAATGCTTTTGGTCGATTTAAAGTAATTAACCCAACTTTATCATGACTTTCTGTTAAAATAAATTTATGTTTACTGGGAGTTTCATCCGAACTAGTATCATGTTTCACTAATTAAATATATTAAATAATATTAAAGTAATTATATATATATATATATTTATATATTTATATATTTATATTTTTGTATATTTATATATTTATATTTTTGTATATTTTTAATTGATTAATAAATGTAATTGTAAAATAAAAGAATTGAATTAGTAAGAATTAATAGTTGGAAACTTACTGCGTAAAGTATTATGAGTGCTAAAACAAGCATTAGGGACATTAAGGACAACGAGTCTTGTTCGGGATAAAGTACGTACAAATGAAGTGAGCATTTTAAAATTTCGAAATTTGGAAAAAATATTTAATTTAATTAATTAAGAATTCTTAGAAGTAGAGATTTTTCATTGTTCTGTCGATCTTGATAAGATTTTATCAAAATGGAACTATATGTACAGTGAGGATCATGATTTAATTGGAAATTGACAATGTTGTAACCAGCAATTAAAAATAATTAATTGTAACAACAATTGTAATTATTATATTATTATATTATTATATCTATCAAAGGTGGGTATCTCGAAATCGTCATTTAAAACAAATAAAACTGAAATTTCATGTTTGAACCTTCATTTTGTAATATTTATTAGATCTCTAGCGCTCAAAATGGTCTTCACTTTAAAGATAACATAATAAAATTATTTTAATAAGTTAATAAGCATGAAAATTTTATTAATGATATTTTTTTTTTGTTTTCTATCATAATGATAATGATAAACTTTATTCATAATTGTATTAAGTTCTATTAATATATAATTAATTTTCTCATCTGTAAGCGCGAAATCACTTTTACAGATGGGACCCAGTATATTTTTTCTTCTATGGTGGTTTGTCTTTTATTTATTTATTTATTTTTGCTGGTTCATCTTGTAGTATATTTAATAGGATTTCTTGAGTTTCGTGAATAATATTAAAGATTTATTTGAGCACCTGTAACTCTTCATCCTTTTTTGTTAATTGGATCAATCTTTTAAAACTTCCTGACGTACAATGGTTTGTATTCGTAACGCACCTTCATTAGTTAATCTTGTACATCCTTCTATATTCAATTGTTTCATCTTAAAATTTTTTAAATAATTCATATTTCATTTCAATTAGGTCATCAGCAAGTTTCCAAATAATATCTTCTCGCGATGTGATTGCCATGACTTTTTGTATGATCATAAATTATTCACTTGCTTCTAAAATTTTTTTTTTTTGCCAAATTTGGTAAGTTAAAATATACTCATTGAAATTCAAAGTCTCTTTTAATGATTAAATCGAATATATAAATGGTAAAGATCCTTTAAAAGTAAAGCCTGAACGAATTTTAAAAAATGAACATATTATTTTTGTCAAATCTTCAGCTTTTTTTTTTTCGATATAAAATTAAAATGATCGGCATAATTTAATTTTTGTGACACTGTTATATTTTTGTAATTTTCCGTCATGATTTATTATAGATTGCAGATCATTTTGTACCACTGAGTGAATTAATAATTATTTAAGTATTTTAATTATTCTAATTATATTTTTTTAAATTATTTTTATTTTTAATTATTTCGCAATTTTGCATTCAACTCATTTAATTCTAGCCCCAAAGTTATTAAGATTTAATTATCACAAATTTGATCTAACTTGGTTTTTTTACAGAGGAATCTTTTAACCTTAATTTTAAATCTTAAATTTAAAGATTTAAAAAAGGTAAAAGTAAATTTAAAATTTTAATCTTAATTTAACTTTAAAAGGTGTAATTATTACATGTAATAATAAGCTAAAAATGTCATTGTAGATTATTTTTTCTCATACTGCAGAATCTTCTGCAAAGCCTGTAGGTCTATTTAACTTGCCTTACTTTATTACTGATGAATTTTTTTTTTTTTTTTTTTAATTTCAATCTGATCAATGAGAAATTTAGTAATCTATTTACTTTATTTAGTAATTTTAAATAATTTTCACAATATTTTAATTATTTTAATTATTTTGATATTTATTAAAGAAAGGTTTTAGCTAGATAAGTATAAAAATATCTCGAAATATCAATTAGAATTGAATTAAACCATTGAAAAAAAAAATCATTAAACAATTACTTACATATTCTTTGATTTTTTTTATATGGTAGATTAAGTCATTTGGCATAAATTCCTTTCCATTTATAGAATTTTCATATGACGAAGTTATTCGTACCATGTTGCACGACATGGTGGCGCTTCAATGATATTTGATGACGTAATAAACACATTGAACGCGTCACATAACTATGGGAGTACAGATCACATGAAAATGATGATCATAACTAAATTTATTATGTTCATATAGAATATATATATACATACATAATTTTTTTTAAACATACCTAAAATTACTTTTGCTTAAAATTAAAAAGTTTTTTCTAAAAAAAAAAAATCAATCTTTTTTTATAAATTCGAAAAAAAAAATTGTTTTAATGGTTCAATCTAGTAATAAAAGACGTAGAACAGAAATGGAACAGGTCACACCTACTTCACAACAGTATGGTGGGGCTCCATATGAATCAACGATCCAAGCCTCAGATACTGGGATTGATCAATCGGGAATAAATTATAATGATGAAAATTGTTTAAATAATACGACGGGTAGAGATAATCAAATACAAATGTTAAATGTAAATATTTCTATTCAATATTTAGAATTATTACTTTATCACTTTTACCATTTCAATACTTTAATATTTCAATATCACCACTTCCTTTCTTCCTCATGACTTTTTTTTTTTTTTTTTAAAAAAAAAAAATGAAACAAATAATTAATTATTATTCTTTATTATTTTTATTAGACTAGATACAATAGTCCCAATTCCAATGTATATGTTTTTCCCGCAGATAATAATAACCTTTATGGTAACGATGGTACATATATATATAACAGTAATAGATCATTTTTATATATTTATATATAATGATCTAATTTAATTTAATTTTAATTTTATAATAAATTTTTATTTTTTTTTTATTTTATTTTATTTTTATTTTATTTATTTTATTATATTTCATTTATTTATTTCAGCAATGAATTCGAATCATAATCAAACTCATGATAATTATGGTATTTTAATTATAATTAGTTAGAAATAATAATAATAATAATAATAATAATGAGTAAAGAAGATATTTTAATTAAATATTTATTATTATTATTATTTCAAATCAGTGAATGTAAACGTAAATGGACCTTCTCTTCCTCCTCCTCAACGAAATAATTATGGTTAGATATTTTATTTCATAATAATTTGACTAAATTTTTTTTTTTTAAAAAAATGAAAAATATATACTAAAATATTTATAATATTTATAATATTTATAATATTAATACCAATAATGATAATAATGATGATGATGATGATGGTGGTGATGATAATAATTAATAATAATAATAATAATTAATAATAATAATAATTAATAATATTAATAATTAATAATAATAATTAATAATAATAATAATTTATAATAATAATTAATAATAACAATTGATAAATAATTAATAATATATAAAAGGTTCTATCACGAATTATCCGTCACAACAAATTACCAATCAAATTAACAACAACAACCGTTATTGTAAGAATTTTAAGATCAAAAAAAAAAAAAGAAATTAGTTTATTTTATTTACTCAAAAATTGTAATCAACAAATCATATTTGATTTTTAGTGATAAATCCTGTTCCGACTGAAAATATCAATTTGAACACTCAACCAAGAGGTAAAATATTTCATTATTTTTATTTTTATTTTGATATTTTGGTGTCTCAAAAATAAACTAAAAAGAAATAAATAATCCATTTACAGGATCAATTGTAAATTTTACTAATCGTTATAGTAAGTTATAATTTTTATTATTATTTATTTTTATATTTTCATTATTTATTTATTTTTCATTATTTATTTTCATAATTTTTATCATATAGATGAGACAAATCTAGATATTCAGCAAAGAGGTAATTTTAAAGATAAAAAATAATTTATAACTTTTATTCTAAAAATCCAATCTAATTCATCAAAGAAATCAATTATATATTATTTATCTCACTCTTATATGATAGCTACTCAAATTCGACAACGACCTTTATTACCAAATACAGCATTAATAACTAGTAATAATTGTGGTCAGAATTATGGAGGAGGAGGAGGTAATATAATTTGTCCAACAGGTCATGGAATAGAACAATATCATACATCTCTTTATACTACAGATCAAAGAAATCATATGACAACACCAACTTTTTATCAACAACAAATAAATAATCAATCGAGTACTTCTTCTTCACCACCACCACCTCCTCCTCTTTCTTCTTCTCCTTCTTCTTCTTCTGCTACTGCTACTGCTACTACCAATATCACTACTTCTAATACAACAAATATTCAAAATAATGTGGGAATAATGAATAATCAAAATAATACTTATTACTTATCAAATAATCCATTATCATCATCGTCATCACAAAATTGTAATAAAAATCAACAACAACAACAACAACAACAACAGCAGCAACAACGACGTACATCATCATCATCATCATCATCATCATCATCGCCATCAATGCATAATAATAATAATAATCAAAATAATAATAACAACAACATCAAGACGAATCATAATTACCATCACAATAATATTGGGATTAATGTACCCGAATCAAATCATCAACAACCACAACATCAACATCAACATCAACAACAACAACATCAACAACAACAACAACAACAACAACATCATCATCAACATAAAAATATATTGGATTCAATTATAGATTCATTACAATATCCAAATACATTCAGCGAAGCATGCGATTTATTGATTAAACAATATCGTAATAATGACATTTATTCTCTAGAAAATGAAGCACGTTTGATTAAATGTCTTGAGGTATCATTTTTTTTTTCCATTTTCTGTTGTTTAAATTGTTTGGATTTTTTAATATATTCAATTTCTAATATTCCATTAATATTCCATTAATATCCCATTAATAAATAATTATTTATGATATAATTTCTGATAATTTATATATATATATATATATTTTTAATTTTAATTTTAATTATGAAAAGATTGTGAAGAAAAATATTTACCAAAATCAAAGTGCCGCAATAAATGTTTTTATAAATTTTAAACCTTACATTACACAAATTAACACACCTACAAATAAAAGTAAGTAATTTTATTTTATTTTATTTTATTTTATTCTATTTTTATTTATTCTATTTTATTTATTTATTTTATTTTATTTTTTAAAATTATATTTATAAAAACCCTTCACTTAATAACTTGATAAAATAAAGAGAAAGTTAAAAAATGGATGCTTGAATTTGAGAAGATTCAGCAAAAATTTCAGAATAATTTTCTTAGTAGATTATCGAAGAATGTAAAGAATTTGAACAATATGAATAATAATAATATTAATAATAATAATATCCAACAAGTTCTTGGTGATATGTCTCGTCATCATCATTCATCACAACAACAATTGCAATCACAGCAACAATTGCAATCACAACAATTAATTAATTTAAATATTTCCAATCTTCAAATCCTGCCCCGTCAACCAATACCACCTCAAACGCATCAAATAATGTTATCACATAATAATCATCATCATCAAGCAGTAGTACCATCATCACAAATAACCAATACAGTTGCTTCTAATTATCGTTCAAGATCCAGTTCATATTTATCACCAAATTATGATCCCAGTTATACTCATAGAGTTATAAGTAATGCTTGGGGTCCAGTAATGCTTCCTTATGATAATTTCGAGAATGGAGGACATAATTCAATAAATAACATTTATAATAGTTTTTATGTTTCTCAAGATCAATACGATCGAATTTTGAGGTTTATTTTTTTTATTTATTTATTTATTTATTATTTATTATTTTATTTATTATCTATTATTTATTATTTTATTTATTATTTTATTTATTTATTATAGAGCAAATACTCCAAAACCAGGGTCAAATTTTTCAATAGAAGAAATGCCAATCACCTATCGCTTAATTTGTCGTAAATCAGGTTGCCTAAATTATGAGAACATGTGTGATTGGCCTGAAGAATCCATACACGCATTTGAAGTATTTATTAACAATAATTTAGTGAAGTTACATCGGGTATAAAAAATCTTTTTTTTTTTTCATTTTGTGCTTTTTTTTGGGGTGAGAGGGGGGAATTATTAAAATAATATTAAAATTATTAAAATAATTTCATTCTACAGAAACGTTCTTATTATGATCGTGATAATTATGAACATTTTGAAGGAAATGATAGTTCTGTTGACATTTCGAGTTATATCTTATCTGGTATAAACAAAATTATTTTAAAACAATGTTTCTGTGATATTTGTCATAAGAAATTGAGTGTAAGTTTCTTTTTATTTATTTATTTTTTAATTTTAATTTTTTTATCTTTTAACGTTTTATATTATTGTTTATTATATTATTATTTATTATATTATTATTTATTAATTATTATTTATTATATTATTATTTATTATTATTTTTATTATCCTATTTAGCAATATGTACTTGTAATAGAAGTACAAATTAGAGAAACGCGTGATTTCATTATGTACTGGGCTAGATCTCAATTAATATCGGATTCCGTCGGAAAATCTCTAGGTAAGAACTATTTATATTGATCATCATTATTTATTACTATTTTAATTATTATTATTTTGATCTTTAATTATTATTTTAAATTATTAATTATTATTTTAATTATAATAATAATAATAATTATTATTATTATTATTTTAATTTTAAATTATTATTTTAAATATTTCATTTTTTACAGTTCAACATTTAACTGGTACTTCATCACCATCAATGGCTGCGGATGATGATTTAATTGTGACAAGTAATTTGAACATAGATTTAAGGTGTCCATATACTTATACAAGAATCAAAGAACCCGCACGAGGTTTAAATTGCGTACATTTAAACGTAAATATCTATTTGACTTAATATAATTACTTTAATATATCTTAAAATTATTAAAATTATTATTAATAATTTTTATTTTTATTTTTTTTTTAAAGTGCTTTGAACTTTGTAATTTCGTTGATGCAGTATTTAAACGACTTGAATTGGATAATAAACGAAAAGAATTATGGATGTGCCCGATTTGCGAGTAATGCTGCATTATATTTAATTACGTTTTAATTACGTTTTAATTAATTATAATTTATATTCATTTATTGATTTATTCTTTTTTTAATTAAATAGGAAAAGAATAACGAGTGAAACTCTACGTACTGATTTACATTTCCTCAAATTATTAGACCAATTTGACTCGTAAGGAAAAATTTATATTTATTGTTTATTTATTTTTTATTTATTTATTAATTCTTTTTTTTATTATTATATTTATTATGTTTCTTAGGAATGTTACCGTTATTTCATTATCACCTGATGGTAATTGGATAGTTCTTGAAAGTACTTCGGAAGAAAATGATAAAAAAAATAATACTTCAGCAAAATTATCAGTTATACCTGATGATAAAGAAGTTATCATTATTGATGATGATGATGACGATGATGAAAATGAACAAAATCATCATCGATCTAATAATGATAAAACCCAAGTGATAGTAAAAACTGAAGATGATGAAGAAGAAGAAGAAGAAGAAGAAGAAGAAGAAGATGATGATAATGAAAATCTTCAAGCCAATCAAATCTCTCAAACAATTTCATCTGCTTCAATGATGCAATCACCACCTTCTTCAGAATCTATGATGACTCCTAAAGAGAAAAAAGATGATCCAATGGCGAATATTGATAATAATGGTGAATACAATAATGAATATAATAATAATAATAATAATCATCATCATTATCATAATAATAATTATTATCATGATAATAATCATAATCATAATCATAATCAAAACGCGAATGGATCTATCGCTTCGCCCATACAGGAAATTAATAATAATAATAATAGTAATAAATGGATTCCTCATATTAATATTAATAATAACCCAAATGGTGATGATGACGATGATGGAATGTCAATTATACCTTATGATAATGATGATGATGATAATACTAATATTAATAATTATAATAATAATTATAATAATAATAATAATAATTATACTAATACCAATAATTATAATAATTATAATAATTTTAATAATTATAATAATTATAATAATAATAATAATAATAATAATAATAATAATAACGATGATAATAATAATAATAATAATAATAACAATAATAATAATAATAATAATAATAATAATAATAATAATAATAATAATAATAATAATAATAATAATAATAATAATAATGATAATAGTAACGATGATGATAGACCTGAATGGACGCATGATAATAATAACCGAAATAATGAGGCTATGAAGCAAATACAAGAAATTAATAATAGTAGCTCAGATGAATGGACACTTTTGGATGAGGAAGTAATTTGTGATCAAAATACTTATATTCGTGAAATTTAAAAACCTTTTGCTTATTTGGTTTTTATATACGCTCATTTTTCTCCATCCCTGTCCATCTTTCTTGTATAATGCAATAAAATTAATTTTTAAAAAAAAATTAAAAAAAAAAAAATAGATATATTTTTTTTTTCACAGAATATGACTTTTCTTAAATAAAGCTTGTACAATACGATTGATCTCAATTCATTAATTTCAAATTATTGAATATATTATGATAATATTTTATCAGGAAAAACGATCACTTTTAACTCCAGAATTTGAAGTTATAGGTAATGATGTTTATTACGCGTCAATTATATCTCTCAGAGATTTATTCCAATATATTAAAATATCTATAAAATGTACAAGAATAATGTAAAACTATCCATACATATATATTTTTTATTTTTTCATTATCTAATTCGCTACTTCTAATAGTTCCAAGGTTGCGAAATACCTAAATATTTTTTTTCGTTTTATAAATAACCGGAACCACTGACCAGATACAAATCACTTTCAATTTGATACTTGAACAAAAAAAAAAACGCGAGAAACGCTTGACATATAAAAGTGATAAACTCGTGATCTAATTTCTTAATTTAATAATCTAAAAATATAATTAATCTATGTATATGCAAAATGTCAACAATTCCAAAATTTATTCTAAACAATGGAATAGAAATTCCTTCTCTAGGATGTATGTTTTTTCATTCTCATTTTAGAATTTTCTTTACTAAAAGAGTATTCTTTGTTGTCGAAACTTTAAAATATATCTCTTTATTTCTCTCATTTTAAAGTTGGAACTTTTCGCATACAAAACTCAGAAACAATTGAGTTAGCCATTAAAAGTGCAATATCAACTGGATATAGACTTATCGGTAAAAAAAATTATTAAAAATTTTATTATAATATTAATTATTATTATTATTATTAAATCTAATAAAAAAAAATGTTATATCTAATTTTACAGATTCTGCAATTGGATACAAAAATGAAGCCGTGATAGGAAAGACCATTAATGAATTGATTCAAGACTCTTTCTTGGGTCTCAAAAGAGAGGATTTTTTCATCACAAGCAAACTTCCACCAAGTCTTCAGGGTTATGATAATTGTCGCAGAGGTAAAATAATGTTTATCTATTTAAAAGAAATATTTAATATTATTAACACTATGATAATATTTTAAAAAAGAATTTTTGAATTCTCTCGCACGATTTAATATGGATTATTTGGATTTATTCTTAATCCATTGGCCAGGGTGAGTTGATTTTTTTTTTTTTTTTTTAAAAATAATAATTAAAATAATTGAGTCATTATTATTATTATTTTTTTAGAACTCAAAAACTTCAACCCTCAGATCCAAGAAATGCGGAAAATCGTAAAGGTAGTTGGAAAGCACTTGAAGAATTATATAAAGAAGGAAAAATTAGAGCCATAGGAGTTAGTAATTACACAGAGAAACATATTCTTGAATTATTATCTTATTGTACAGTAATTCCTACAGTATTACAATTTGAATTACATCCTTTACTATATCAAAAGGATTTAATTAATTTATGTAAACAAAAGAATATTCAAGTACAAGCCTATTCAAGTTTGGGAGGAGGAGAATTGGTTAATGGAAAAATGGAAATTCCTATAATTGATCAAATTGCTCAAAATCATAAAGTTATTCCTTCACAGGTATTGTTAAGGTGGGGTCATCAACGTGAAGCAATTGTGATACCAAAATCTATTAGACCAGAAAAAATTAAAGAAAATATAGATATATTTCAATTTGAATTAACTGAAGAGGTAATTATTATTATTATTAATTATTATTATTATTATTTAATTATATATTTAATTATTATTATTATTATTATTATTATTATTATTTAATTATATATTTAATTATTATTATTATTATTTTATTCTATTTTATTTTGATATAGGAAATGAAATCATTGGATTCTCTCAGTGATTTATATCCTCCAAAAAGATTTTGTTGGGATCCCACTAATATAGTTTAATATTTTATATAGTTTATGTGTTAGACTATAAATCATTAGACTTGCTAATAATGTTGATCAGATAAAAATCATTGGATGAAAAAAGAATCTATTACGGAACCCCTGAAATTCTTAGAAAATGATAGAAAAATTCTATTTCAGGAAATATTAACCAATGAGCAATGGTTGGGCTGATAAAATATAAATAAATATAAATAAATATAAATAAATATAAATAGATAAATAAATAAATAAACATTCTCTCAAACAGGATTACGAACTTGATAACCAGACGGAAAAGACCAACATCTTCTCTTCCACAACTTCCATTAAATCATCATTTAAAGTGTATGCACTAGACCAATTAGAATTAAAAAAATGAAGGTCAAGAATTTATTCTATTTTCTTTTTTTTCTGACTTGTGAGATCACATTTTATTATTCTTCTCTATTAAATATTTATTATATTTATTATATTTATCACTACTTTTATTACTACTTTTATTACTTTTATTGGAATAAATTAGAAAACTAAATATTATTGTTTTTGATTATTTTGGGTATTATTCACCGAAAATCGAAATTTTTAATGGACGTCCACTTTTATAATTAGTATGAATATTCGATTTTAGGTAGATCGATTTATTCTTGTTTTACTTTATTATATCACAACCATTTTTATTATCATATTAAATATTTATAATTAAATTATAATTTTATAATTAAAAATAAAAATAATATAAAATAATAAATTACCTTTCATCATTGTTGCATCTCTGAGATTATTCTATATTCTTCTTTTATTCTTCTTTAAGCGTTCGCCGGTAGATTCCATCTTACATAACTTGTACAACCTTCTTTAATTAGTAAATGGTCGTTACCTTTTTAAAATATTAGGCGGCTAAAAATTGTGTAACGTTATATTAAAATCTCATTGCGCAAAATTTATATCAAATTTTCACGTTCTTGGAATTCTGGAAACTAGTATCACACCACGAGGTCCTTTTACTTCTTCTGAGAAACATCTATAGCTTTCTTTTTCATTCTGGAATTAAATCTTTGTCATCTATTATTATATAATGTCATATTTTAGATTATTAAAATCTTCGATAAAAATATTACCATAATTTATAATTTTTTTTTTTATTCACTTGTGTTCCCTCTTTTCGAATTTTTTTGTCGGTAATTCTAGAAGTGCTTAAATTATTGGCACGTTACCACTGTGTTCTCTCGCCATACTTTCCATAAATTCTCCCATCATTATAACAGCCACTATCAAGAAAACTTGCATAAAAAATCTTCCTAAAAAATTTATCAACTGTAAAAAAAAAAAACCCCCATTGACTAATTTGAACAATTTCCTCATTTCTTTTTACATCGTTTCTTTTCTTTATCTATTTATCTCATATATATACATATATATCTGTATATATGTATATTTATGTATACACATTAAAGAACTTTCTTTTACGACTTTAATCTTTTAATTATTCCTTCGTGAACTCTTTTATTAAAAACTTTTAGCAGGTTACGACAAGAAGCTTTATATTTATAAAAGCTTACCGTCACTTAGCTATACTTATCACTATGGAACATGAAGGAAATAACAACGGAAACTCAAATAATGTTACTGTGGAGAGAGACTCCAATAATAATAATGCAAGTGATTTTTACGTACCTCAAACGGAACCTCCGGGTTCCACTTTGTCACTTCCAACATCAACATCCCCAACTCCCTCAGCAACATCCCCGTTTAGTGAACAACTTATTTCCGCTCCGGTAACCACCACTTCACCTACTTCTACTTTACCAACTGTTTCGCCTACTATGTCTGCAAACACTTTGGTGACAACAAATAATAATAATAATAACAATAACAACAACAATAATAATAATACGACGAGTGCTTCGGCTCACAAAACCCAAGCCGCTTTTGTGAATAAATTGTATACGTAAGCATTCTTAATATTAATTATATTATTGTTTAATCGTAAGTTGAAAATTCGTAGAGACGTATTTGTAATTCTTATATATAGTATATATATATATATATATATGCAGTGTATATATATAATATATATAGTGAATATAATATAGATATTATAGATAGAATATATAGAATAGATCGAATGAATAGAATACATAGAATTTTATCATATATACGCATATTAAAAAAAAAAATTATTCCAAAGAAAAAAAAAAATTCTTTTCTAGAATATTTAGAATATTCCTTTTATTCCATCAAGTCACACAACACGGAAAAGACGCGTTGTGAATATCTTAATGTGTCAATCCTGATTTACATAATAAAAATAATTATATATATATATATATTTTTTTTTAATTCAGTATGGTAGAGGATCAAACGATTCAACACTTAATTTCATGGGCACCTACGGGTGACGTGTTTAGTGTATCGAACCCTACAGAATTCTCGAAAACTGTTTTACCACAATATTTCAAACATAATAATTGGCAAAGTTTTGTGAGGCAATTAAACAGTAAGTACAAATTATATAAAGTTTATTTAATTATATTTATCATTTAACATATTTTTTAATCATATTAATCATCTATTTTCTTGATTTTAAAGTGTATGGATTTCATAAAGGTATGTCTTTAATAAATATAAATATGTATTTTATTATGTATTTATTAATAATGGATATTAAATCCATTATTTTTTTTTTTTTATTAATTGTTATTTCCATTATTTTCTTCAAGTTAATGATATGTTTCATGCAAATCCATCAAGCGAAAGTCAGGCATGGGAATTTAAACATCCTGAATTTCGAAAGGGACAAATTTCTGCTTTACAAAATATTAAACGGAAAAGTTCGAAGCATACTCCTTCTAGTAATTCGACAAGTTTAAAGGGAGGTTTATCAAACGCTGGACTTGGACAAAGTCCTACTTCCGAACATACAGCCGCCGATGTTGTGCGTGATAGTAAAATAGAACGCTTAACGAATAAAATGTCAGAATTGATGGAACGAATGCATCAGATGAATGAAAATTATAGAGTGCTTTATGCAGAGACCGTATCATGCAGGATGCAACAATCTAAGCACGAAAAGGTTTTTTTTTTTTGTGCTTTAAAATTTTTTAATTCAAGACTCTTTTTTTATTATTATCCAAATGTTAATATAATAACCACTTTTATTGCTATTACACGTGATTTATAGGTTATTACTGATATAGCAAACTTTCTTTCATCCATGTTTCGCGGCGAAGGTGATTTTATATAATTTATTATTATGTGATATGTACATTTAATTAATTATTAATTTCATTAATTAAATTAATAGAAAATTCAAACGACCCTAAAAGCCTAAAAAGAAAATTTGATGGTAAAATTCTAATTTGATAATAATTAATTACAATTAATTTATTTAAATAATATTTTTAATACTTTCAACCTTTATCTAAAAATTTTTTTACATAAATAATGTAGTGGATTGTATACAAGCAGAGGTAGCAAAATTTGGGCAAGGTGATATTCCTCCTTCAAATCAAAATTTGACACAACATCCTTCACATTATCCTAGAGAAGGTACGCAATCTAGGTCAATGTCAACTCCTCAACCAATGGTGGGAGTTGAACCCACATCAAATATGATTCTTCCTTCACGAATGTCAGAAGTGGATTATCGATCCAATACTTCCTCATCATCATTTACTGGTTCTCAACCGCTTCATCGATCACCTGTTAAAATTCCTACTTCTAGTCCTTTAGCTATGTTACCCGAATTTCCTTTTGCTCAACATTATCAACCAAGTAATAATTACCTTCGGCATCGTTCTCCTGAACCTATAACAAATAATGGGAGTGTTTCAAGGTCATCATCCATGGATACTTATAGACCATCAACTCCTTCTAGTTCTTCTAGTTCACAATCCTATACTACCCAATCACGAGCTACACATCCTCCTACACATATGCCTATGTCACAACATCGAAGGTCATCACAACCTGGTTCTTCATTGGGATTTGGTTCTGATAGCAATTTGTTAAATCCAGATGGTAATAATAAGAATAGATATAAGGACAATAACTCTAATACTATATCTCAAACTCCCCCTCCACAAAGACCTCCCCCTTCAAATACTTCTACATCACCTTCTCCTAATTCTTATAATAATAATAATAATAATAACAATAGCAATAATAATAACAATAATAACAATAATAATAATAATAATAATAATAATAATAATAATAATAATAATAATAATAATAATAATAATAATAATAATAATAAAACAGATAAACCTGTGACTGTTGATCCTACAACTTCACAAATACGTCCCCCTCCATTACCTGATCCACCAGATAATGAACTTGAATACAATAAAAGACGGAAGAGAAGTTGATTTTTATATATAGAGAGAATTTTATTAAAATTCTTAAAAGTATGTTTACTAATAGAATCATTAAATCAATATATACATATCAGATACCATTTTTTTTGTTAATTACCATAATATTTATCATTGTTTATCATCAGATGATCTTTACATAAATGGGAATGTAGATAATAAGAACAATCAGTGATCACGCACGCAAAAATCATTAACATATCAATAATAAATTTATTATATGGATTATGTAGCGCGAGAAGAAATAAAAAATTTTGTTGTAGAAGAAAAAAAAATTATTTAATGAATTAATGAATAAAGGAAGGAAGGGAAACGAGAACAAAATTTTTGATTTGCGTTGATGTTTAGTAGTTTATGTAGTAATAATAAAAAACGAAGGGAGCCAGTTTTTTTTTTTTTTTTTGATAATAAGCAATTGGAATAAATTGGAATAATTGGAATAATTAAAATTAAGTAGTGAAAAAAAAATCATTAATAAAATTATAATTTATCCACCATTTGATCCATTTGATCAATTGAATCTTTTGATCGTTTTTTTTTTTTTTTTAATATTATCTTTTTTCAAACTTTTCGAAAGATATTTAATTTCACGTATAAATTCATGTCATATTCACACGTTCAGTCGAAAAAATAAATTTTTTAGCCGGATCACCAATTAATAATAGTTCACAGTTCAGATGCTGTTTTTTTATTACCAAGTATGAACAAGTCTCCTTAATACGTATCTGTTTTTTTTCTTACGCAAAAATATGCTATGCAAGGGTCTCAAAAAATGAGACCTCAAAAGATAAATTAAAGATTCCTAAGACAAGCGCCCAGACCATAAAATCATCAAGGACAGACATTGGTTCGGGCAACTACAAACGTAAGATGAATTTACAAAGGGAAATGCCTCAAAGGTTGTTACACACAAATACAACCTAAAGGTCATCATAATCATCCTATATGAAAATGAAATCTATATGTAAATGAAATGCTATATATGTTAAACCAAATGAAATGCTGTATGCAAATGAAAATAAAATAATGAAATGCTATATAAAATTCTTCCTTCCCTTTATATCGATATACACTAAAAAAACACATATTTATTACACTAAAAATTACATAAATAAATATTTAACAAAATTTCCGAAGCAATGATTGATTGTATGACAGGAAAATCTGTCATAAAGAAATCTCTCATTTACAAATGAAACCCACGTTTTCGGAGGCAATTAATATGAAAATCTTATTTTATACAAATAAACAATAACAAAGGGCTATATTAAAATAAATCATGTAAAAAAAAAGTTACAGGATGCTCCAAGCTAATTTTATCATGAAATTACAACTAATGATTTAAGTATCTCATCTTGGATCTGCAAGTCTGCTTGCCATTCTTTTTAGTTTCTAGGGTGAAAATTTTACAAGACAAAAAGAAAAAGATAACAAATAGTTCTTCAAGTTAAGAGGATAAAAAAAAATTGCAACTGGAAATGTAACCCAGGTCTTCGAAGATGATATGGTATTTGGTCAAGACGTTGATAATGGAGAAGAAACACTCCAACAAAAAAGGTGATGCTATTCAAAGTGTCATAGCATATGAAGTACAACATCTTAAGGGTGAAAAATCCGAAGATTATGTTAATCAGATGTAAAGATTTGCGAAACTTAATGAACTAGAACAATGAAGAAAACCTCCCGTGCATAATGACGTATCTGATCCCTAACATGAACAAGCGGAAATAATGAATACGATAACGAGAAGCCTACCATTACCTTAGAGCTACAGGGCCATAAGGATACGTTTTTTGAAGAAGATAGTCTTTTACAAGAAGATCTTTGTGCTATTGTCAATTGTAAATTTGACAATTCCGGCAATGGAAAAATGGCACGAATTATCACAATACATTGAAGAAATACGCAGGAAAACTTTTAATAAGCATAAATTTTAAACAAACAAACTTTTATACATTAGGTGGTCTTATAGACATTCTTGATGTAGTAATAGGTAGGTAGAAGTTGTAGTGGTGGAATTTGTAGTATTTTTTTTTTCAATTACAAAGCTGTATTTGTGAGAGGAAATTATATTTGATTAAATTCTTTGGATTTGATGACTTGATGAATTGAATGAAACGAAGAAATTGAAGTGTATTCAAAATTTTTAGATACATAATGAATTTCGATACAAAAAAGATCTTTGCATGTAAATTATAGACCTGACATTCTCTTGTGAATATTATAGAACTTAAAGAATACATACACGAGAGAAAGTCACGTGAATATATCTTGAATACATTACACATACATCTTTGCGTTGACTAGTGTTCCCGTGATTGTGTTTCATTACAATAAATGCAAATACGGAAATTCTCTGAATGACATAATTTATCCATCCATATTCAGAAATCCAATAGTAAAATACCGAACATTTTGCATTTTGCATTTATTCATTAATTTGTTTTCTCGAAACGTTTATTAAGGAATTACCTTAAGCTATAGATGATATATTTCATTATTTTAAGCGTAATTATAATAACTGACAATGTTTCTAACAATGCCACATTATCTGACATTATTTTAAGGGTGATTAACAGTTAACGTTAAACCTTCTAAAAATCCTAATATGGTTTTCAATAACATTAAAGTTTGTTTATCCTCTCATTTGATATTTAATTGAATGTCATAAGAGGAATATAGGTATTAAAGAATAATATTATTATTATCGTCATTATTTATTACGTCAATTATCGAATTTATCGAATTCATCAAATCGATTCGATTAAAAAAGCCTCATGTTTCAGGAATTCCTAATATCCCTATTCAGAAAGTGTAATAAGATAACTATTACTTCACAATTCACAATGTATGTATGAATGAGCGCCAGAAAATTAATGGAACAATAAATATAGGAAATATAACAGCAACAATAAAGAATTACGATAATATAAACATATTTGAGTTATTAGATCACGAAAGACGTGTTCACATAAATGGGATCCTTGCGTTTAATAATATTAAGCATTATTTTTTAAGCACAATCATTAAATACGAACATTCTTCGTTTGAATTAAGAGAAAATTTTAATATAAATACATTGCAAATTTCTCCTGCTATTTCATCATCAAAATTCATCAAGTAATTAATTCATCAAGTCAATTCATTAATTCAAATTAAAAAATTTTCCTCTCTTACATCTAACGAAACTGTAATTGAAAAAAAATGAATCCTACTTCCAATTCTACCACTACAACTTCTACTATGGGTGTCACTGAAAAACCTGCTGGCGGTGATCCAACAAATTATTGCACTATAATGCATTCATCTTCTGGACCTATTTTTGGAGCCACCGAAAAACCTGCTAACGGTGATCCAACCAACTACTGTTCTATCATGTAATTCTCAACGTTTCTCCCACGATGAACCGAATTTCAATCGAAAAAACTAATGACCATTTTTAAGCTGGACTTAAATTAAAAAAATTTAAACCTCCAACATATGAATTTATTATTATTATTATCTTTGAGATGGTAAATATTTTAGTTCTAAATAATAAATTTGTACATCATTTTTTTTTCTTTATACTGGTTTACGATATATATTTTTATGCAAATGAATTAAATGAATTAATAAATACGATCTTCACGTCCAATAAAATTTTTTGAATTGAAATTATTTAATTTAAATTAAACTGTACTGTTTGAAAACTCTCAATATATGCAATATTTGCACTTTATATCTGATATGAAATAAATTTGTTCGTGAGAAAAAAAAAAAAAAGAGATCAAAGCCATCCTTTATTATTACAAAAAATTTCTTGAAGGATGGTTTATGATTGACTATGAAATCATAAGAATTATGGCTTATATTTATATTTTATTTTAGCATCAAGCCACAATTTTTAGTTGAATTTTATTAAAGAATTCGTAGGTAAAAAAATGACATTTATCACGTGATCAAACTCGGTACATATGAAAATATCTCGAGAACTTCGAATTTGAGTTTATTAATACTTATTTCAATATTTTCTTAGATAAATAAATTGACATAAAAAACATTAAAAAAACAAGAATAAACACCAGATAACATCTTAATAATGACAATATAATTAATGAGGCGATGCAGGGTTAATGGGCTTTTTTTCTACGCCTCAGTAGAATCCTCTCAATGTGGTTTCTCTTATTATTATTAATATCTCAATAATATGACCTCTCCATATAGTTTCTCTCAATATGATCCTTTCAACATATGGTTAATATGTATCGTTAACGATTCATCGGGCAAATCACACAGCCATCAGATTCATCAATCGATGGCTTCCTTTAATCCATAACCTTTCCTTTTCTTTTTCTTTATTTTGATTTTTTTACCACAAAAAAAAAACAAATATTCGAATTTTTACATTATGAAATTTATTTGTATCCAATCTAATAATATATAACGCATATAGCCTAGTTTCAAGATGGTTTTTGTTTTTTTATCTAAATTTACAAATTTCCAAATACAAAAATTGATTTTTTTGATTATATACATTTCTTTCCATTTAACAATTACAACAAATGCCGCGGACGAAACTCCAACCTCTACTGCTACTGCTTCAAGCTTATCAACTGCCACAAACTCATCTACCACCAGCACTTCCGAGTCTCATCATCATCAACAACTAATACAAATTTTAATAACTGTCGGTGTCATAGTTTTATTTTTTTGTTTATTAACAATATATTGTTGTATGCGTGCCAATCGAAGAAGAAGAATTTTTGAATCTTTGTCACCAAGTCCCCGAAGTTCTCGAACTTTAATTCCTCAACCACCTCCCAGAGGTAGTTACGATTTAACTAGAAAATTAGAGACCTCAAGTACGGATACTAGAACAAGATATTTTGATGGAGAAATGACTCAAGTTGAAAGACCTTCATTTGATTCTGCTCAGTTACAAGCTGCAGGTGATGAACAACATAATCCTAGTAATATAGACCCTGAAAACCCTCCTATTAGTGAGAGCGAAGTTCGAAAGGAGTAGTATAGGTCCTGAAAGCCTTCCTATTAGTAAGAGAAGAAGAAAATAGTTATAACAATAAAACGTAACGATGGTGTTAATCATAATAGTAATTCTCATCCTTATGATTTCCTATTTTCTCCATTTTTCCTATTTCTTTGGGTTATAAAATTATAAACGGATTTCTAGTATTCATAAACACTATTTTTTTTTTTTATTATTATTATTTTATTTCTATATTTTTTTTGTGGACATATAAACAAATAACAAATAGATTATTAATAATCGTAAAAAAAAAAAAAAGAAAAAATTTTTTTTTGTAAATAAAGCAAATATTAAAAATAAATATTTATTATTGGACCCGATCAATGAATATATTTTTACAATTCAACTTTGATTGTGATCAATCAAGTTTAAGTTTATTCGAAAAAGAATGGTTGAAATTCTCCATAGCGCGAAACAATACTGTTACAAAATTTAGATATCAAATTCTCCAATTCAAAAGTGTTGTGAAATTAGGTAATTATATCAAATATATCTAATTATACAATATTTAGCAAATATGATTATTATCATGTCATAATTATGATATGAGAATAGGTCCCATTATTTGTTTTTTGGAGGATCCAGCTTGAATTTCCTCTTTACATTCTTAACGTTTCTTAACAAAGAATAATAAATTTACCAAAATAAAAGAATACAAAACTAGCATAAATATAAACTGTGTAAACGAAGAAAATACTATAATATTAACATTATTTAATAATAAATAATAAAGAATAAAATTGTAAATCCCTTTTCCGTGTATAAAATCTTGAATACTTATTTTTAATTGAGTTTCTTCTTTCTTGACTTGTTTTTCGTAATTTCGCCTGTAATTGAACGAAGCTTATTAGTATGTTTCGTTCGTTTCTCCTTTGTTTATTTTTATTTTTTGTAATTTAAATAAAACGACTTTGGTAAATGTAAAGGCAACTGGCACTCAGGATTGCTACAGGCAATAAGAAGACAAGAAATTACATGGTAATTTTTAATAAAATTGTTTTCTTTTGGAGTTTCCAGCCTCATCTGGCACTCGCTGTTCCAACGGGCAGTACAGAACAGAAAATACTTCGGCACTCGCGAAGGCAATACACACAAGTATGTGTTACACAAAACAAAGATAATCCTGCAGCAAACTTAGCTCTGGCATCCGGTCAACTCAAAGTTGGGTCGTCACACTGATATGCTCGGGCATCGTTATACTGTAAGAATCCTTATCACTCCCACTTTGGCACTCGTATATCTCATTGCACTAACACACTATGCTTACGGCCTAAGCATCACATGGGTACTCATGTACGCAGTGATAGATATGTTATTATTGATTTCTTTTTTATCTTCTTATAAATGCAAAAGGTATGAAAGAGTTAGACAACTGATCATAATAAAGAAAAAAAAAACCTGAATAACAAATAGATAAAATAAAAGACTTACTTTACTATTATTATTTATGAAAATTAATTCTTCGTGAATGAGGAATGAAGGTATAACCATAAAAATCATGATATTTTAAGAAATTTTAAGATTATCAGAGAGCAAAAAGGGATAAAACAAAAAAAAAACCATGGGTTGGGGGAAATGATTGACACATGACCAATTTTGTAAATGATTTATACTATCTTTAAAAAATGAAATAATAGTAAAATGCAATGCTAATTTATTATATACTTTAAATAAGTTTATGTAAGAATTATACTAACGTGAAAGTGAAACTAATGTAAGAATTAAACTATTATTTACACAGATTGACGAAACATTGGATTGTTAATTTTTTTAATAAATTTATAGAAGAAATTTTATTAAGAAATTGTCTTAGAGTCCTTTGAATTGAGAAAAGAGAATCAAAAAAAAAAATCGAAATATAAATTCTATTTATGAATTTATTGTTCGCTCTGACGTTAATTCTTCCGGAATTTCAGCCCCTCCTTCCGTCTTATCCAATTTTTGTTTTTTTTTATTATTGTCTATTACTGATTCTTCCACTTCCTCCACTTTACGTTTTCCATTATTATCACACTTCACCACCGTCTCCATAATTTGTCCATCTTCTATCTCATCACTCTCTTTATTTTCAGATTTCACTGCTGATTTGGTTTTTTCTGTTTTATGCGTCGCAAGTGGATCCTCTATATTTTCGAAAATCTTTTTGAGATCGCTCGCTTTTTGTATAGAAATTTTTCCTCCGTTTGATCTTGATGACTTAAACTTAGGCTCCTGTCTTGTTATTATTTTTGCCCCGTCTAGGGGATTATTCGGATTCTATAAAAAATTTATATATTGTTAACAATCGAGAATGATAAATATATATACACACATATATGTGTGTGTGAAACTTACATTTGATCTTACAAGTAATGGTTTAGTAAATGGGTAACAAGTTAAGACTCGGTCTATGGCATCTACATATATAGAACAATGTAAATTATTTAAATATATAAAAAATAAAAAAAAATAAAAAATAAAAAATAAAAAATAAAAAAAAAAAAAAAATAAAAAATAAAAAAAAATAAAAAATAAAAAATAAAAAATAAAAAAAAATAAAAAATAAAAAATAAAAAAAAATAAAAAATAAAAAATAAAAAATAAATAAAATGATATTAAAAAATACCGGCAATAACATATACATCGCATCTCTTTTCCCACCATTTCTGATCTGTATTTATCGGTATTTTAAGCATTAACGATGCAATGAATATACTTGCGTAGGCGATTATGTGTGCATTGTAAAAAAGTAGTGTTGGTAAACTATAGCTAATTATTATTATGAATATATTTAAATTTTAATATAATTATAAAAAGTAAGTGCAGTCTAAAATTTCAGATAATATAAATTAATATTAAATAAATTTACCTATCATTTATCGTCACCCACGCACAACCCTTCAATTTATTTAAATCATCCTCATCCATCCCAAATTCTTCCAAATTAAATTAATTAAATTAGATTAATTAAATTAGAACTAATGATATAATTAAAAACTTGCTTATATAATATATATATTAAATACCTTTAAAAGATTCTAATTTTTCCACCATTGGAACATAAGGATGGAGTATATTATAATTGAAGCATAAGACTGTGGAGACAAGAACTTCTTTCTTAGTAATAGTATGACCCCATTTCTCAAATTCCTATATTAAATATTTTAAAGTTAAAACCAAAATTCATTTATATATTGAAAATTTTTAATATAATTATAGATTATTAAATATCTTACACCCTCGTCCGTTAAACGCCTATTTTTCGTGGCGCTTTTCGCACACGAAATAGCTATTTCTCGAACTTTTCTTATTGATTCTTCAGTCTTGCATGCGAGCAAGACGCATGCACCACCAACGTCCTGAGAAATTAATAGTCAATTAAAAAAAATATATTTCTTATACTTAATTATAAAAAAATATATATAAAAAACACTCACGAAATGATGATCAAGATAGAGGGTTCGACGCATATAAAACCGATGTAAATAAGTTATTGCTGTTGCTATTGTTAATTGTGGTCTATCAAATAAGATTAAGACATATATGAACATAATTTATATAAAAATATAAACTATATCAATGTATATAAACTACATCAATCAATTGTATATACAATTTGAGATCCGCCGCTATTTCCATTATGAATCTTAGCCCCCTCGCACGTCTAAAATTTTCTTCATCGACTAACATCCCTGCAGCTCTTGAGGGAGTATGTTTTTCATATTCCTCATAAGTGAATCGCCAGTTATTTTCAGAGCCGTCTGGATCATCAAAATTATTAAAATTATCAAGAATTTCAAACTTGATTTCGGTATTTTCGGTATTTTCAGTATTTTCGGTATTCATTTTAGGTATTTGGAAGTAATGAGCTGATCTATGTTATAATTGATTTTCAAAACTGATGGTGATAAAAAATCTTGTGTAACTAAAATTGAGATAATCAAATTTGGATTTGTGATATTACAGTAGAGCTAAACCCGAGGGCCCGCGTGTCATTGAGGAGGGCCGTGTTGTCCGTGGCTTCTTGTGAACTTCCATCCCATCGAACATCTCAAAAGTGCATTTATTAGTTCCTTTAAAATATTAAAATATTATTTTTTTCTTCACTCAAATCATTGAATGGCTATAGTGTAAAATATTCAAATGAAGAAGCCTTGAAACAGGCATCTTTAGATACTTTAATTCTCACTTTTCATGTGGACATTGAACCAGAGTTTCAGTTTTGTTCTCAGAGTAATCATTCATGCGGAAAAGCAATTGATTTAGTGAAGGCAAGTAGTGGAAAAATCGAATTCAATAATATCAGGATGGAATGTATTAAGTTGGGTGAAGTTCAAGTCTCATTATCATTAGTGGTAAAATCAGAGGATGAGATTTTAAGCCTTGAAATTAATGATCCATATCAGCCAAATCAAAAACACTTTCGTGAAACGTTTTGGAATGCAAGATTAAAAAGATAAGCAACGAGTATTTAGAGCCGTTAAAAAATGACAAGATACAGAATGTTTATCGTTTAGAGAGTGCATCGTTTAATCAGTAGGAAGGGATATTGTGACCTGTAGAATTTAAATACAGGATTACATCTTATTAATTATTAAAAAATCAACTTTCGCTCATAGTTCTGGCTTTATATTTTTTTTTAATCATATGGTGTGCATTGCTATTACAGAACAGTTAATGTAAATGCCAGAATAGGAATCACGATCGACAGTCAATATTGATATGTAAAGTTCACACGTGCACGTACTGTAGATCAAGTATAAATTTAAATTCAACAGTAAATCACGCGGTATAATTGGAATTTTTTTTTCACACGGAAACTCGAACTTGTCATAGTGCCATTGTTTCCACATTTGGTATAAAACAAAACCTTTCATTTTAATTTTTTTTTGTTTTCGTTTATTCAACATTTACGGTTAAATCTAACCTTATTTTTATCGAAACTATTTTTTTTTGTTTTCGTCTATTCAACATTCACAGGTAAATTAAAATAGCTAATCTAACCTTTATTTTTATCAGATACAATTAAAATGAACAATAAATATCTTCCTCTGTAAGTATTAAATTTTCCGTAAAATAATGAAATAATTTTTTAATTCTAGACATCATCTGAAAATGTGCAAACTTTACCTTCTGTCTCTGATTTCATACTTAAAAAAAAATGGTATAAAACGCCTTCAGCATATTAGCTAATACCCATGTTTATAATAGTAGCAATGATCAGTGTATTAAGTGTAGCAGTGGGAATACAAGTTTATATACGAGCAATGTGCCATAAATATTATTTCGGTTATTTCGGTTCCTATTTCATCTGTTAGTGGTAATATCGAGGAATGTAATAAAGCAGATGTCCAAACTTTACAGCCAATTTCTTGTGAAAGCTAATTTATGCATCTCCATTCTGGGTAGGTTATCCCATATTACCAAATATTATCCCATTCTTGTGAATTGTGTTGTAATATATATTTTTATTTATTAATTTATCCATATTTGTCCTGGGACCTCTGGGAACTTTATCGGATAGAAAAGGACGCCAAAAAAACTTCATTAATATCAGTATCGGGAACGATCCTGAGTACATTAAACTTATTATTAATTTGGAAGTTTTTTGACAAAGTAGGAGAGAATGGCTCTCTTAATTGGGTTATTTATAGATGGAATAACAGAGTGATTTTATGCTTACTCCTCCAACCCAAAGGTAATTTCTGTAAACAATATTCAAAGATTTTCTAATTGTTTATTTCAATTTCATATATTTTTCACATATATTTCACACATATATATATATATATTGTTAACTGGGAGCATTAATAATGTTAATAGAAGTGTAATGTTTGGTTGGATCCAAAGGAGCAATGTTTGCAAGGTTTTCTACGATAGGAGGATTAATAGTGAAAACTACAAATAATTTGCTTTCTGTATATTATATAACAATTTTCATATATATTGGATTATTTTTATTTTACCTTTAAATCTTACCGGAATCTTTAACTAAAGAAAAAATTATTAGCGAATTTAAAACGGCAACATCAATTATTCATCATAAACTGGACAAAATGGAAAATTATTAATTTATAGCTTGGTTGGATTTACAGCATGTTCCGACCCTTAGCATTATTTTTACTCATTAATAAATCATAACAAAAATGTAGTTAATGATAATAATAAAATTCTATTTTCTGCTACAAAATATTCATTTTCATTATTAGCTATTATCATCATCTATATGTATTAATATACAACATTAGTATTCAATTGGACAATAGTAAAACAAGAATATTTTGTATTTGTAATGAATGAATCAAAAGTATGTGTTCTATTTATTATCTATCCTTTGATAGTAAAATTCAAACCAAAAATTCTAGCATTAATTTCGAAATCGAAAAAATAAAATATAAAATTGATGACAATAATCAAAAAATCAAAAATAGAACCAATAATAATCAGAAAGAATAATCCAATTGTTTCTAAGGATTATAATAACAAGAATGATGAAATTATTATTGAAGAGATTGAGATTAAGAATAATGAAGGTGGTCAAGAGATTGAGAATAATGAAGATGATCAAGAGATTGAGAATAATGAAGATGATCAAGAGATTGAGAATAATGAAGATGGTCAAGATGAGGAGGGATAAATGAAAAAAGAATCTATATTTGAGGTTTGGGCCATTAGATTAATATTTTTGACCGATGCCATATCACACGTCGCTAGCAAAATCTACTTTAACATTTTATGACGGTAATTAATAATTTTATTTATTTTCTTGATTTTTCTCCCAAGTTTGTTTGTCCAATTTCCATTAGGAGGAATAAGTGTTATTGACTCCATTCTTCGTTTGATTGATAATTTATATTCTGTTAGTTAAAATTGTATAGCTGTATCGTTATTTTTTTTGGGGGGGGGTTCGTTTCTTTTGGCATAAATCCTTCCTCTCAAAAATCTAAATATTGACTAAATTATGATTTGTTAATTATATTATTTGAAAATTATATTATATTTTATATTTTTATTTTTTTTTCTATAATTTAAATGACTTAAGAAATTAATTTTCAAATATAAAAATATATATTAATGTTTATAATTAAATTAAATTGGTATTACAATATCCTCATTCAATTCACCAAATTTAAACTTAAATTGATGACATTTTTCAATTGAAAAATTTTCATGAGCTAAAGTTTTCTCTACAAATACTACATTATTATTATAGTCAACTAGAACTATAGTATTAGTTCTAGTAGCATAAGGTGAACCTTTTGAATCATGTATTGGTACATTTATTGTTTCATCTGTTAATAGTTCTGGTCCAAGAGGTACAGTAATGCTAATTAAAAATTTATTATTTGTTAGTTTTAAACAATTAAAAGAATTAAAGAAAAAGAATTATAATAAATTACCTGAGCATTTTTAATAATCTGTCAATAAATTCTTCCTCACTTAAATCAACTCCTTTAACTATTGATTTGAATTTAGATACTCCTATTTTCACTTTGGGCCAAGGATCTTCCAACAAAGAATTTGATAATCCATAAAATTCTTTAGGAGGTATTTGTTGAATATCAATTTCTAGTTTTTTATTAGATAAATAAAATATTTTAGGATGTTCTAAATTTAAATCTGAACATATCAAGTTGAAACCACCATATTTATGTGCATTTTCCTTAATTAAATTTAATTGTTGTTCAATTGTAAGGTCGGATTTTAATATTTCTTTTGTAATAATTCCTCGAGATAAAAAATGTTTAGAAGGATCACAATTAGGATCTCGATAATTCGTAATTACAGCAAATCTTCCTGAACGGTTTATACCAAGCCATGTTCCTCTTTCAGGACTTTGTAAATCTAAACCACTTAAGATATTTGGGTGCCACCAGGAAGCAAGTAAAGTTGGTCTATTAAGGACTTCATCCCTATTTGTTGCTAAGATGCTAATCGAGAATAATCAAGAATAAAAAAAAAAAAATTAGTAAATCAAAAAAAAAATATGTAATGTATAACAATTTAAATTATTTATACTACAATTTATATTTAGGGTGGTTTTCTGTAGTCCAAAACAGGATGCACATAATAATTTTATTGGATGATAAAACAAAACAAGAAACAAGAATTGATATTATTTAATAATATGTTCCATTACTTTGAGTAGTAACTTCATTATATGTAATTATATGTGTACAAAAAAAAAATTATTAGCCTCACAATCCAATCAAACAACAAACAAATATAATACTAAAACCTTTTTTTTTTTATTTTAGTTCAAGTTAATCTTTATTTTACCCCAAAAAAAATTATCAGATTTATTAAATTCGGGCTTATTCATTGATGTTAAAAAATTTATATATATGCTCTCATTTTTGAATATCTTACCAATTTTTCCTTTTTTTTTTTTTCTTTCTTGAAATAAACAATAAAAAATATATTTATTGTTGGCATTTTTAACATTTTAATGATTCTTTTGTCTTCTTCTCATTATTATTATTATATTTCTCTTTATTATTAAAAAAATTTATCAAATCCTTTCTTTGTGTATTTTATTTTTGCCTTGATGGCTGCTTTCTCCGTTCCTCAACCTGTTAAAGTTGAACCCGGAAAAAAAACGAGACAAAAAAAATGGAACATTCGAGATGATCCTATTACATGGCAAAATTGGTATAAACATATTAATTGGCTTCACACACCAGTTCTTATTTCTACACCGATTATTGCAATCTATGGATTTTACACAACTAAACTTCAGCTCTACACTGCAATATGGGCTATCGCATATTATTTTATAACTGGATTAGGCATTACTGCAGGTTCGTTTACAATCTGTATTATTTACTTTAATATGGTGAAAATTATAAGTAAAATTATTTAAATTATTTATTCGTTTCATCATTGAGAACGAAAAAACAAATTTGTACTACTATCTTTATCTCTAAATTATCTCGACGATCCATGTGTATCATTTACAGTCAAAATTTCCTTTTTAATAACAATGATTTTTATTGGTCAATTTCTCATCTTCATTTATTGGTCAATTTCTCATCTTCATTATCCATTAGGTTATCATAGATTATGGGCCCATCGTGCGTATAAAGCATCACGCCCCTTTGAAATTTTCTTAATATTTGCTGCTTCAGGTGCAGTAGAAGGTTCAATTCGATGGTGGTGCAGAGATCATCGATCGCATCATCGATGGACTGATACAGATTCCGATCCATATAACGCACATAAAGGACTTTTTTATTCACATTTGGGTTGGATGTTATTAAAACAAAATCCTAATACTACGGGTCGAGCCGATATTTCAGATCTTAGTGCTGATCCACTAATAATGCTTCAAAGTAGATATTATGGGGTATTTGCGATAGTTATGGGATTCATTTTTCCAACGGCAGTTGCTGGTTTCGGATGGAATGATTGGAAGGTTATTATGGATATATTATAATATTTTTATTATGAACATTTTCTTATTGATTTTTATTAATATTTTTGATTATCATTATTAATATTTAAATTATCATTCTTAATATTCAATTAGGGAGGATTCTATTTTGCTACCATATGTCGTTTGGTTTTCGTTCATCATGCAACATTTTGTGTTAATTCTTTGGCTCATTATTTGGGTGATACTCCATTTGACGATAGGCATACTCCACGTGATCATTTCATAACCGCATTTTTTAGTTTAGGCGAAGGTTATCATAACTTTCATCACGAATTTCCCGGAGATTATCGTAATGCCATAAGATTTTATCAATATGATCCAACTAAATGGTTAATTAAAACTTTATCTTATTTCGGTATAGTGCATCATTTAAAAACATTTCCGGAAAATGAAATAAAAAAAGGTCAAATAATAATGTGCCAAAAAAAATTAGATTATGAAAAAAAAACGATAGATTGGGGTAAACCATTAGATCAATTACCTATATACACATATGAAGAATGTAAGTTTTTAATATTTTATTAATATTTATACATTTAATTATATTCACTTATTTTAATTTATCTTTTATTTTATTTTTTATTTTTATTTTTATTTTTATTTTTTTTATCTCAAATTCAGACGAGAAAAATGCTAAAAGTAACAATTGGATTTGTATTGAAGGAATCATTCATGATATTACTGATTTCATGGAAGATCATCCTGGTGGTAAAGCAATTCTTATTGCTTCCCGAGGAGAAGACATGACAAATGCTTTTAATGGAGGAGTTTATGATCATTCAAATGCTGCCAGAAATTTATTGTCTTCATTCCGTATTGGTGTTATATCGGGTGGTGGTGAAGTTATGAGTCGTAAGATTAATCAAAACAAAATGAATTAATAAATAGAATGAATAAATTATATAAATAATAAAAAATCAATTCATATTTATTCTTTTTCTTATGAAAAACCTCTTTCGTCAAACTAAATAAATAATTGTACAACAAGTATTACGTAGAACTGATATAATAATCGAACAAATGTCATTAATGTCACGTGTATGAAAATTATATTAATTATATAATAAAAGTATCTGAAAATTTATTTTTTATCAGTTTTAATTAATTTTTATTAATTAAAATATCGTAATAATGTCTCACTACAACCCAAATCAACCTTATGGACGTCCACCTCAAGGTCAAGGATATGGAACGCCTCAACAATATGGTCAACAACAACCTGGTCAACCACCATATGGTCAACAACAGTATAGTCAACAACAACAACAACAGTATAGTCAACAATATCAACCTCAACAGAGTAAGTTTTTTTAAGATGAGTGTAAATAATTTCTCTAATATTTCTGATATTTCTGATATTTCTGATATTAAAATAAAAAATTAATATAATAAATAGACCGACCACCACTACAAATGGCGCCACAAAGTGGACCACCACCTCAAGTACCACCAGGTGCCGACTCTCAATTATGGTTTTGGTTTCAAGCGGTTGATACTGATAGAAGTGGAGCTTTAACCACTGAAGAATTACAAAAAGCTTTGATTAATGGTAAATATATTTAAAGAAATTATTAATAAAAGAAAAATAATAATTTGTCTAAAGAAGTTAATAAAGAATGTAAATTATTTTAATATATAGGTGATTGGAGTCCATTTAACATTGAAACGGTACGATTAATGATGAATATGTTTGATACAGGTGTGATTTTTTTAATTATGTATATATTTTATGTATTTCTATATTTACATATATATCATTCGAGAATGAAATGAAAATTAAATTATATAATCTAATTTTATTTTTTTTATTTTTTTATTCAATAAAGATAACACTGGGACAATTACTTTTCAAGAATTTGCTGGTCTTTGGAGATATATTGAAGATTGGAAAAAGTGTTTTACAACTTTTGATGCGGATGGATCTGGTACTATTAATTTCGGAGAATTGAAAAATGCCATGAAAACTTTTGGATATAATTTAAGTGATAATTTCATTAATCTTCTTATTAAAAAATATGATAAATATGGTAAGTCTTCGTTTTTTATGTTTTTTTATTTTTATTTTTATTTTTTTTTTTTATTTTTATCTTTTTTGCCGTCCGTGTCGAAACCCAATCCCAATATAAATCATGTTGAATTATTAACTGATTTAAAGCGGGCAATAAAACAGGAAAGGGAGATGTGACCTTTGACAATTTTGTGGTAAGCATAAAGAATAGATTTATAAATGATTTATAATGAATTACAATTAAATATAATGAAATATAATTAACGAATTTAAAAAATTAATTATTTTTTATAGCAATCTTGTGTGACTGTTAAGACTCTTACAGACTCCTTCCGACGTTATGATACTGATAACGATGGATGGATCCTAATTAATTATGAGCAGGTAATTTAAATATTTATTGAAAATTTTGATGAATTCAATGTAATTCTTTTTTATTTTTGTCACTAATACATTTTAATTCTTTTTATCATTTTAATAATTTATATTCTTTATTATTTTTATTTTATTTTTTTTATCTTTTATTATATTTCTTTAACTTAGTTCTTGGAACTAGTAGTTAATAATCGGTAAAGTGAACGTATATTGGGTTGTTAGTCAGATTAAATAATATTTATTGAGGTTTTCGCGGCTTTTTTGGAGAGGGAGAGGGAGAGGATCGTTCCTCCATTATTTTGATTATTTTTATTATCATGTTATTTTATTTTATTTTCATTATTATAAATATAATTTCATTATTCGGAATTTAAAAAAGAGTTTTTTCTTTTGCTGTCAAATTGGCCTATGTCACGTGCTAATTTAATTTAATTTAATTTAATTTAATTTAATTTAATTTAATGTGATCGACTCTGCATAATCATCCTGAAAGTTGCGCCATTTTGTCATACTAGTTATACATCATATAATTTGTGATCTACATCTTACATGCTTAACTAATTACGTGGTAAAGTCTGCACCTATACCAAAATGTATTAAATATTTATGTATATGAGTTTAATCTAATATCTAATAGATTTAGATCTACCTTAATTAGATAATGATAAAAATAAATAGATAATAAATTAGATAAAATTCAAAACATCTATTGAATAATTTATAATAATAAGAGAAAACCAAATAATTATAATTATAGGAAGATATGGCTGCCGAATCTAAAATAGAATTGCAACCTCCCCTTTCACCTTTTGGTAATGCTGTTGCTGGTTCATTAGGAGCATTAATTGCTTTATTCATAACTTATCCTTTAGATATGTAAGTTTTTCTATTCTATATATATGTATACTTTATCTAACAATTTATTATTCAAAAAACTTTATTTTTAAGATTTTAATAATTTATAAATACGATTTTATAATTATATATAATTATATGCTTTTATCTAGCACAAAAACACGGCTTCAAGTACAATCTAAAAGCGATTCGTCAAAAATTGCAAAAAACGAATATTATCATTCGACAAAAGATGCATTATATAAAATTATATCTTCTGAAGGAATATCTGGTCTTTACGCAGGATTACCTGCTGGACTTATAGGAGTTGCTTCCACAAATTTTGCCTATTTTTATTGGTATTCTTTAATTCGTTCTTATTATCAAAACAAAAGGTCATCATCATCATTATCCACTACCACTGAACTTATTCTAGGTGCTTTTGCAGGAGCTCTTGCTCAAATATTTACTATTCCTGTATCAGTTATTACCACAAGACAACAAACTACTAAAAGTCATGATCGTAAAGATCTTATAGGTACAACGAAGGAAATTATTTCTGAAGACGGAATTACAGGATTATGGAAAGGACTTAAACCATCTTTAATATTATGTGTAAATCCTGCCATTACTTATGGTGCTTTTGAAAGATTTAAAGATATATTAATAAAAAGGAATAATAATAATAATCTTTCCCCAGGAACTGTATTCTTTTTAGGAGCTCTTAGTAAAACCATTGCTACAATATTTACTTATCCTTATATTATGGCAAAAGTTAGGTTACAATGGAAACCACCAAAATCTGATTTAAAAGATGGAATTGATTTTGAAGAATGTGAAGAAGATTCTTCAAATTTTAAAAGAAATATAAAATATAAAGGAGCGATTGATGTTTTGAGAAAAGTTCTAGCAACAGATGGAGTTCAAGGATGGTACAAGGTAATCAAGTTATTTAAATTTTAAATTTATTGAATTTATTCAAATCATTCATTTAAATTTATTTTATTTTATTTTTTTTAATTTTTTTTTTTTTTGAAGGGAATGCAAGCACAAATTACAAAAGCTGTACTCTCTCAAGCATTACTTTTTTACATGAAAGAATATACCACTCGATATACAATTTTTATTTTTGTCTTATTTGCACGTCTCTCAGCTGCTCGACGTCAAATTTAATTTAAATATAAACAGAGTTGATATTTATTGTAATTTTATTATTACTTTATATTATATTATTATTATTTTAACTTCAAAAACACTTTTGATCTACAAAATCTAACAAAGATTATATAAAAATGTCATGTGATATAATTTACACTATTAAAACTAATTCTAAATTTACAAAAAAAAATTAAAATCAATTTCTCTTAACTTATTATTATAATTTAAGAAATTCAGTCCTTATTTTCCTTCTATTAAAAAAAAACAGATTGTACAGTAATTAAATGATAATAATAATATTAATAAGATCTACATATGACCTTGATTTATGTAAATTATGATTAAATAATTAATTTCTTTTATTATCCACCCACCTATTCTTTTTATATATTATATATATATATATTTATTATTTTATTAATTTTACACTTAATTCAATTCAGCCAACAATTAACCATCACCGATTCATCATCAAACAAAATTTTTCTTGTTAAAAAAAAAAATTTCCAATTGAATTATTATTATTATTATTTATTCTTTCATCATATGTAAAGAAGAAGATTTAAAATAATTAATTATTCTGATCTGATTTCATCATTATATGGCCATAGATCTTCGATATCTTGAATGTGGCAATAAAGTTCTTCCAGCTTCAAAAACTGCATATTTACGTGATATTTTTGCTCGCTTTGATTGACTAACCACCATAGGAATTGGAACTACTTCACATATAAAACTAATCACATCAAAAGCTAAATAAATTATTACAGGTCGAGATTGTTGTGGGAAAAACCATAAAATTGCTGTAGAGAAGAATATAGAGAGAGAAAATATAAAAAACTTATGATAAAGAAAGAAAATTTATTATTTATTTACTTACCACAAATACCATATTGTATAAAACTCCCTATATTCCAAAATGTGAGAACTATTAACAATTTTCCTGGAGGACAAATCAATTCTTTGTTTCCTTCATATATATACCACTCATAAGCTTTGCTCACTCGTTTTTGTGCCTCTTTAATATTTGAAGGATATTCTTGTTGTCCAAGTTGTAATGATGATGATGAATTCATTTTACGACTTGCTCTATATATTTTAATGGCTCTTGAGAAATTAGCTAATCTTTTTGGATGTGCAAATATAGTAAAAAGTGTAAATTCTATATTTACGATCTGTATATGGAATTAAATTTAATTAAAATAATTTTATCTTTATAAACACGCACCCTTCAGAAATTAACAAGAGGACTTGCCTGTAATAGGCATTCTACCCAAAATTCTTTCTCTATCATTGTAAAAATATGAATTACATCAATTACGATAAGAATATATAAAGTTAATGCAAGTGCAAGACGAAAATATGTGAGAGTATCAAATATTCTTTTGCTATGATTAAAAATTGTTTGACAGGCCGTTGGACATCCTTTCTCACATAAATCAAGTGCTTCAGAGTTGGTGAAATTCTTGTTGGATTTGAAAGTAACATCTGGTGTCGATTTACTTCGTGCTGGTGATTTCTCGTAATATTTTTTTGAGGGTCCAATTCCACCTTTATTTTCTGAAGTATAAACCGAGTTACGTACGTAAGTTGACATTTATATACTAATTATATTTTTGTTATACATATGAGCTCGCGTTTCCGTTGGATGCACGATAATATGTCAATTCAATTAATAATATAATTATTATTATTTTTATTATTGTTTTTTGAATTAAATTTATTAACGAATGGGTTTACAGAATAACTAGATAAAAACAAATTAAAATTATTATTATATCATTTCAAGATTATACACGCGAAAGAAAAAAGTATTTACATTCAAATATAAACAACCGTGTACAAAAAAAAAAAAAAAAATTGGTCAAAAGCCTCAAATTAACGGGAGGCTTTCTTTTAATTATCCAAATAAACAAATATAATGATAAATCTTTAAAAATAAATAAATAAAAATAAATCTTTAAATAATTTTTTTTACATAATATGTGGCTACAATAAAAGAGATTCACGCCTTTTATAGATTTGTTTAAATCTCTGACCTAACTATCATCATAAAGAAAAAACAAGTTATAACTGGGCGAAGCCAGAAAGCACAGTTTCGGTTATTGCTCAGCAAAACTAACAAGAATTTGCCGAGCCAGAATAGCAACAGAGTAGCAGAATGATAATTAAATAAAAATGTACAATATGAGTGTTCATGTTTAATTAATTGTTTAAAAATTGTTAGTATTTTTTTTTCGTCACGGATCGAACCTGTTGAAATTGTTAGAAATCGATCTTTAAATACTGTATTGTAATAAATTTTTGAACAGGAAAATATAGTTTTACCAGATCGTCTAAATTTAATGATGCCATAATTCTTTGATAACCTACAAAAATGTTGTTTCATTCTCGAAACTATAAATGCATCGGTATCGGGAAATTTAAATAAGATGCACCAATCAGGATGTTATAAATCATACTGTTTATTTTTTCACTTCTTCATCCTCCGCTTTTCCAACATATTTTCTTATTTTTTTTTATCAATGATATGGACGCGAGAAAATTCTATGATAACCACCGAGATATGGTGATTTATGTAATATTTGTATTATTTTTTAGTCACTCTTTTTTTTTAATATCCAATTATTCTTTAATGCTCTTCCTAGTTCTTCCCTCTTGTTATAAGCAAATAATGCAAGTAATATAATAATACAAAATAATACAAAATAATAAAAGATACAGAAAACACTTAAATATATAAATTTTTTTTCTTTTTAATGGAATAGATAACTGTGTAATTGTGGAAATAATGGTAATAATAATATTGTTAATACATAGTATGATTTTTTTTATACAAACATCATTTTTGAATTAAATAATAACAATAATAATAATAATGATGATTTAATAATAGTGATAATAATAATAAAATAAATATTTTTCTAAATATAAAAAAATATTTCCATTTACTTTAAGAACAATTTTCATAATATATCTACTTTAAAATATTACTTACCTCTTAAGTAATATTAAAATTCCTTACACTAAGGTGTAATACTAATACAATATTTATGATGAATTACAAAAATACATATATAAAACAAAAAAATAAAATAAAATAAATAAATTTCTATACAAAAAGTGTGATTCCAAATATAAATATTAATATATATATTTTTTTTTCTACAAATGAAATACAATAATAAACAATGATAATATGCCAAATAGAAAAATTAAAAATGAATTCTTTTTTTTTTACCAACAATTAGAAAAATCTGATAATATTGACAATGAACGCTACGAAATATTTGAATTAACAACATTAGGTATATAATCGCCGTTAACCTTAGATTCTGTTGATATGCTTTTTTTTTCATTATCATTCATTTTCTCTTTGGTATTTTTCACGCATTGAATATCTAATATTAGTTCCCCATCACCAAGTGTTTCCTCAACCATTACAAATGTTAATCCTGATGCCGATAATTGAGGTATCTCATCTTCAAGATCATTACTAATATCTGATGTTATAGAAAAGAAGGTGGTGTCTGAACTAGATACACTTCCTTCGGTTTTTTGTGATCGTCGACGAGATGCTTCTAATTCATCAGCATAATCTGGGTCAAGGTCATCATCATCTGGAAATTCAATTGCATTTTCTGGGGTAGATGATAAAGGTATATTGTTTATTATAGGTGCATCATTATGAACAGCTGAAGTTGATGAAGTTGATGTTGATGAAGTTGATGTTGGTAAAGTTGATGCTGTGGGTATTGGAGGTAATGGCATATTTGGTGGACTGGTCGGAGGTGTTAAAGGTACTGCGACAAATGGTAAAGTTTGAAAACTAGTATGTTTGGGATATACCATATTTTGGGTTTTTGAACGAATTGTAGATCTAGCATATGACGACGGTATTTGTGATGGAACATTTTGTATGTTCATTATTTTAACTTGTGTCATCGTAGAAACATTTGAACCTTCGTTATTGTATCCATCATTTGAAGGTCGACGAATTCTTGGTGGTGGTATCGGTGGTATTGGTGGTCTAATATTTTGACGTCTTGGTATTATCATTGGTGGCCTAGGAGGTGGTACGGGTGGTAAAGGTATATTTGGTGGATTGGGTGGTGGACTAAGTCTACTAATTCGTGGATCTGGTATAACTGACAATCTTAAAGGTTTCTGATTTTTTGATATCGTTGTAGTTGGTAAAGGCATTGTTTTTTGTCTAGGAGGTGGTCGTGGTGGTGAACGAATTGGTGGTGGTGGTAGTGGTGTAAATGCGTTTGATGAATTTTGCGACAAAGCTATAACTGATGATGGCATTAATATAGGTATACTTTGTCGATTAGAAATTCTTTTATCTGATGTTCGTTTGGTTGGTGAATTACGATAACTATTGGCTGGTGAAGGTTGTGATTTATAAGATTGCACATCAGTATAAATGGATAACCCTGAATTAATTGAATTCATTCTTTCTTTACTATGTGATAATTTTTGTGTTTCGTCTCGTTTAGATACATAATTAGATTCTCCATCTATTATCATTGACATATTTTGTCCATATCGTGTTCTTGGTGGAGATAAAGTTTCAACTGGTGATGAAGGACGTCGTTGTAATTTCATTTTAATTGGACCTGAATGTTTTTCAACTTCAGGTATTGGAATGAGAGTTGGTGAGGGAGGACCTGAATCAGTTGGTGAAGATTTTGTTCGAGGTGGTGGTGGTAAAGAAGTCATCATTGATGGTCTTGGTGGTGGTGATAGAGAAAATTTATCATCTTCATTAATGTTATCTGGTGGATCCATAATAAAAAGTTCAGGAGATGCTGTTTTCGGCGTCATTTTCTTTGTCATTAAATCTTCATCCTCGATTATCATTTTAGGAAGACTTGATGATACTTCTGTTGATTCTTGAGAATTATATTTACATTTCGCTACTGTACCCTTTAATTCTTTCATCCACTTTTTCATTTCATCTAAAGTATCTGACTGTAGAAACCAAGGTTTTGCTCCTTTGCTTACTTCTAATACCCAAGGTTTTCCAGTAAAAGCTTCACTAACACAAACTACTGTTGTTGCTGTTATTTCAAAACTTTCTATCAAAGATGACCCTGACTCATGTGACTTGAAACAATATAAAGTGTTTTTGGCAAGAACAAAATATCTTTTTTTCCATGCTTTCGATAAAAAATTAGAACTTTGGTGTTTCGCCAAGTAACTAGTATATATTAAATTATTACGAATGCTAGCCACAGTAACTGAAGAGTCAACTGTAGATCTAGATCCAAATCCCACCTTATCCATATACATTGAAGGTGTCCTTTTTACATGGTTATCTTCATCCCAACCTAATATTTTACCAACCTTACTTGTCCTATCTACTAATGGTCTTTCATCAAAATTGTTTGAAGTTATTCCTAGTAATTTATTTAATTTATTATTATTTCCATTACTTATATTATTACTCATACCACCAAAACTATTGTTTGAACCTAAACCTCCATTTCTTTCCTTATTACGATATAAATATTTTTCATCTGCATGTGAAGCAGAAAGTCCACGATTTTTTTTGATTTTTCCCGTTGGTGGTTTTTCTAATAATATTTTTTCTTCTGAAGCAGTAAGACCAAGGATTTTACCAACTTTTGAAGGTTTTTCACCATCATCAGGAGAACCTGGTCGATCATATTCTGGAGATAAAGGACTTATTGATCTACTTTCTGGATTTAACATTGAAATTGTTGATTTTGAACGACGTTTTCTTAAGGATAATGAACCAATTCCTGTACGTCCCAAAACCCTATCAGCTTTTGAAAGAGATCCAGGTGAAGAACTTCTAAATTCTTCCTCGGGATCTGAAAGAGAACCTCTACTAAAATTTTTTAGGGAATAAGTTGAAGAACGTATAGAGGAACTAGATAAAACGGAAAGTATTGAACGTCCAGAATTTTTGCGTCTAAAGGAATTCTTTCCTTTTTCAAACTCTTTACAATTAGGTATGGTTAATGGAGAATCGGGTTCATTGGAAGTAGAAGATTCAGTATCATTGAATTGTGTATTACTCTCTGTTTCAACAATCGACGAAGTAAAAGAATTGGAATCCGTATCAGATTTTCTTATTTTGTTCTTGTGAAATTTTTCAGAATCATTTATTATATATCCTAAATTATAATTTGAATTAGAATGTGATTTAATCTCATCTTCTTCAGAGATTATACCTAAAAATTTATCTTTATCATTTGTTATTTTTATCATGGTATCATCTAAATCGTCCAAAAGTTGGCTTACACGAGGGGAAATTCTGGAAGCATCAGGTGAACCCGATACACATAGTTCAAAATCATCTTTATCGTCCAGCGAACTGCAGACACTTGAACCTTTCCCAGATTCCTTTGATGATCTATTTTCTTTTGATACAGATGACTCTTTTTTATCTTCTATTTAAGGGGTAAATTGTATTAAATTGTAGAAATTGTAAAAATTGTAGTAAACAAATAAAATAATTATAAAAATTAAATTATAAATTAAATAAATTAAATAAATTAAATAAATTAAATAAATTAAATTAATTAAATAATTTAAATAATTTAAATAATTTAAATAATTTAAATAATTAAATAAATTAAATTATAAATAGGAATTAATAAAATATTTTATAAATTTACCACATAGAACGTGAGAATCAACTTTGTTAATATTGTTAGGACCTCTACCCTCAAGTTTTGCAACAGTCCTTACACGTTCTGAAGTTATAGCTTCTTTTTCGGACCTTTGGGTTGTTGTTAAAGTATTGGTAACATTCTTCTCATCCTTCTTGAAAACATTCGATCTAATACTGGAAGGATATTTAGTAAGCATTATGTCTTAGGGTGCCATACAAACACACTCTGATAAATTGGAGAACGCGAGAAAAAATAACAGAAGGGAGAAAACGGTAAAAGATTTTTGGAGCGAACAATCAAGAGATCGTGGTGTAATAGTAAAGTACTGCTGGGCGAGTCGTTGTTGTAACGTGAAAACTGGGAAAGTGTAATACTGTATAATAATATGTGATATAGAAAAAGAATAATACAAACACAAACCAGGATAAAGAAGACACAACATATAAATACGCATACACAAAGCATTCATCAAAATGAAACGAACAAAGTATTAAAGCAAAGGAAAGCAAAGGAAGAAAAAAAGTAAAAAGAGAACGATAAATATACCAAAAAGTTTCGACTCGAATACAAAAAAAAAAAAATAGAAAGTAATTCTTGAAAAGTTCTTCAAAAAGGATAATAATGAATTGCAAAGGATTGTTTTTTTTTTTGTGAAAAAAAATCAATTTTGTACTCCTCCTTACTAATAATTATTTTCTTGTTATAGAATTGTTGTCCGATAAAAAAAATTTATTGAGTATATCAGATATTTACTCTATGCATGTGACCAATCTGTTATCATATATTTATATTGGGGAAAAATTAAAGGGAGAAAAAAAACAAAACGCATTCAACAACGGAAGAAAAATATTATCTTGATATTAATATGTATTAGAAAATTGGAAGATGATAAATAGAAGTTGAGTAACCGAATGAAGGTATCACCAAGTACAGTTAATATATGACAATACTAATCAAGTTTAACAAGATGACAAAGATGATTTATATAAATATGTAAACATAATTATATATAATTATATAAAAAAGAAATAATGAAAATAAAGGATTATTGTAATTGTTTAGGTTATCAAAATTATCTAATTGAATTTCCTAAAAACTAAACTATGCACAAGCGAATTCCCTTTAATAATTAAAAAGACAATAAAAGGCCAATAATTATGGACAATAAAGAATAATCATAACAACGATAAAATAAAAAATATAATGACAAGGTAATCAGTGCATGCGGTTAAATATTACAAATATTTTTATTATTAATAGGTTTAGTACTTTTTTCTGTATCAAATGAAATAAATGAAATGAAAAATGTTTCGCAAAAAAAAGATAAATTATTCGACGAAAATTGGAAACAATAATTTTCTATCAAATTATTAGAATATATTAAATGTATGGGATTATTCTCGCATGGCGGTTTGTTTGTTGCCTTGGATGGGAAAACGATATTGAGATCAGGTGTTACGGATAAAATGAAAACACTGGAACGTCGATAAGGAAAACTGTCTGATAGATTATAAACATAAATGTATCTAATTAATCTTGTAACATATGAAGCAATAATTAAATAATAATTAATTTTATTAAATTCAGTTTTAAAGTGAATTGCCATGATTCAAAATGTATTAGTACTTTATTAAATGAAAAAAAATAACTAGTATAAAAATGTATAAGGTGTTTCCTATGAACAATACTCATTTTTTGCTTAAAATGTGTAAAAATGGAAAAAGAATTATATTTGTATCAATTAAATGTTGCAAGAGGTTGAAAAAATCGATATTAGAGTGATACAAAGGGCAGTTACAGTTTAAGAACCATGTTTTTAACATGATAGGTAAAAGCCAAATGTCTAATTGGCAGTTGAACAATTAAGGTTTTGAGACGTTAAAAGATCACATGAAACATTAAAAGTTCATTCTGTGTATAAAATTTTAACCGAAAACGGTAGTTCGGCTTAAACGGTTCGGTTTACGGTTTGGGGTATTATAATTTTATTGATTTATAAATATTTTTAATACAAATACAAATAACGAATACTTTATTGTAATGTGACGTCGTGATATGATATCTCATCTATGAAACAGAATTTTAATATTAATAAAGATGTAATTTTCGTGAATTCTTCCTCTGACAAAGATCTGTTTTATTTTTCTTTCTAGCTCTTCAAATTTAATCTTGAGCACAGCATTTTCTTCTATTGCTTATTTTAATTTTGTATTCTCAGCCTTTACTTTGGCATACTCTTTTCTAAATTCGTAATCTCAGCTACGAGTTTCGAATTTAATTCCCCAAATGAATCGATTGTAGGTTGTATGTTTGTCATTGTTTTATTTAAGATATGGATACATTCAAAAGTTTAAGTTAATAAAGTTACCCAAGTTAGATATATAATAAATCCAGAAATACCCATGCAAAAAGTAAATGTGATAGTATATGGGAAATCGACCCTCTTTATTGATAAAAAATACAATCTCTGATATACCAATCTTGACCATTTAATATAAAGAAATTGTTGCTATGCCTAACCTAAAATTCGATTTAATGTATTAAAATCGGTAGATCAAATTTTCAAATTTTCTTCGTTTAATATGTCTAAAACCAACAGCCATAAATAGACCTTGATAATTTGGACTTTAAACGTACTTATACGTTTGAAGAGTTCGAATTAATTAATGAACACTAAAGTCACATACCTTGGAACTCAGTAAATCTATTTTAGTTTAATAAAGGAATACTTTTACCAATGCCACAAAACCCAATAAACAAAAGAAGTCGTTGTTCATGAGATCTCTCGCCAACTTGGAAATTGGAATGTGTGTACTTGTCAAAACGTAATTATCACCATCGCAGGGGGGATTTAATTTCAATATTTCAGGTAAGCGAACCATTCGTGCTCCCGATTTTGCATTTATTCCAAAGAATACTTATCGTTCGCTTGATCATCAACAATAATGGACCTTCCAAGTTCAGCCATTTACATCAATCTCTGTTATGGAGGTTGAAGTTGTTCGAGAAGGATATCAAAAATTCAAGGGAGTTTACTTTGCAACGGAACATCGATTGAGCTTGGATGTAATGATTCGGGATAAAGGGTTTAGGAAGTTTAGGACACAATGTGTTAAACTAAAAGGTAAAATGAAGAAGAACTTTTTGCTATGAGCGAAACTTTTATTTATTTACTTAAGTTTAGGACCACTAACCTAGGTAAAAAAATAAAAATAAAATTAATAAAAATTAATTAATAAAATTAAATGATAGAGAAAATATGACAAGTTTAGGACGGTTTAGCCCGAATCATTACTGGATAGATAATAGATCCGAGAAATATGTAAATATATATTTATAGACAGAGGTTGTTTATCGAACTTCACATGGCTGGAATAACATACGACAGTGTTTTACTGAGATTAATATTTGATGTAAAGGAAATTGATGAGGCGATCTCACATGTAAATTTTATTATTTTTTGTTATTTTATGTTATATTATTTTATTATAAATTCATAACTAGGAATCCTCGGAATCTTCTTCATCTTCTTCATCTAATAAAGAATTGCAAATTAAATGTCCTGAATGTGAACTAACTTTCTCTGATCGTTATCCATTTATGAGACACTATGAAAGTCATTCATTTTCGTATATGGCGACAAATAAAAAAATTCATTTCTTTAATTTCTTCATAGCCAGGTGTAAGCGATGCGTGTAAAGTTTTTAAATTAATACTATGATGTATTTACATGAAAAAATGACGAAATTTTTGATTTTAAATTTTTTGACGCCGGAACATTAAATATAATAATATATGTCATCATAATTGTCTTTTTCATCTTTTTTTTTCATCCTTCTCTTGCAAAATAAATATAGAAATAAAATAAAAATAATCTAATAAATCATTGTACAAATATATGTGTACTGTATATGGACACATTACCAAAGATACGCGCCCTCTTCAACGATCCATCCACTGCTGATCTCACACTTCGCATTGATGGCAGGGCTTATTTTGCTCATAAATGTATTCTTAACTTACAATCTGAATGGTTTCAAAAGTATTTAGAAGAAAATCGTCAAGTTGGTAAACATTTTTATTTGGATTTTAGTTGTTCGAAAAAAATGGTTGTTAAAAAATGGTATGAATATAAAATTCGAAATAATAATAATAATAATAATGAAAAGAGTGATGAAGGGAATGAGGAAAGTAATGAAAATAACCGAAAAGATTTTGATGAAAGTGCTTTTCAATATGAGATTTATTATGATTATGATATTTTTGGATATCTTTTGGCTTATTGGTAAATTATTAAGACCTTTATTTTCGATGCTAAAGAAATTTTATTTTATATTTATTTAACGTTTATTATTATTATTATTGTTATTATTATTATTATTATTATTATCATTATAATTATTATAGTTACGGATGGTCAATTCAATCGAAGACTACCGATGAATTATTCGCTATTGCTTATTTAGCTAAGAAATTTAAAGTTCATAGTTTAACGAAATTCACTGACTGCCTCTTAAAACATATTTCAAAGTCCTGGAAACCCAATGAATACAAATGGAAAGTTGGATTGATGATTAGTAAATGGTTAGGATTAGCAGAAACTCGATTAACGATTTTGAAATTCTCAGCAAGAATATTAATAAAGATTAAAGATTCTCGAAATTTCGAGTTGATAAAATCCATAATTGATAAAGATGATTGGAATGAGATTGAAAAGATTATGAATGAATTATCGAGTGATGAAGTGCAAATCGAAAATGAATTATTGGAAGATGGTGTATTAGGGTTGGACGAGAATGGAAATGTTGTCGGTCCTAAAGATGATGATGAAGAGGATAACAGAGAGAAAAGTTTAAGTGATAATGATGATGATGATGGATCAAGAAATTCAGAATCTTCTTCTTCCTATGCTTCTTCAAATGGAGATTCTGACAATGAATCAGAAGATCATCAAAGAAGCATAAATGACGATAAATGAAATGAAATAGAATAAATTTATTTTATTATCGTTTCAATTAATAAACGATTCATCTAAGTTCATTAATAAATAAATAATTCATCTTTATCTTTTTGTGTTGAAATAATTATAATTTACACTGATAATTTTCAGTTTGTTTATTATTTACATTATTTATTATCCTTTGATTATTACTTTGATTATTTAAATTTTCTTTGATTACATTTACAATTTTTCACATGCTAATATGTTTTAGCAAATTTTCCTGCCAACAATTTAAGAGATAATATTTCGATTAACGTTACACAAAGACTATAAATATCGTCATATTGATCGTTTACCTAAGAAAGAAATCAAATTGGAATATTTCATCTTACGATTATGGAAAATATTTTCCTTTTGTGGTTCATTTAATTTACCGTTATTACGTGCAAATAAAGCAGAGAATAATTGAATACGATTGAGATGTTTACTTAATTTCACACAATTTCTATTTACTCCAGATTTTCATATCTGTCTGTACGAAAGAAGAATGATCCTAAAACTTCTTCAATAGTAAATTTATCAATGTTTATTACTTGCATTTGGAGATTCTGGCGGAAAATTTTTCGATAAATAGATTCAAAATATTTTTTTGTCAAGAATATTTGCATATTTTGTTATTAATTCATTAACCAATGAAAATGAAAATGATTTTATCACATCATTCCTTCGAACCAATAGATTTCTTTTAATCATGATAATATTGGGTTGCTTCTGAAAATTTTCTTCATATTTTATTTATACTAATACGCACGTGAAAGGTCTTCCATAGTATTTTCATTTCTATACTAAAATGGAAATTGGTTATTCCTCGGTACTAAGCCGGAAACTTCTAATTTCGGCTACATTATTCCTCGGGGAACAGATATGGTACCGTAAGTGAAAGTTGTGATATATAAAAGAAGCGCGTTTTGGAAACGAATTTTTGATAAGAATAAAGCAAAATTTTTTTAAAAAAGTATTAAATACAAAATAAATAGAAATTTGTTTTTATTCTTTATAAATATTGTTTTAAGTAATTATTTTACGAATCCTATTATTATTATTAAGAATTTTTAAGCTTTTTAATAAGAATTTTTAAAAAATAAATAAATAAATAAATAATAAAATAAATAAATAAATAAAATGCCTTCTCAAGAAACAGAACGAGATCAAATCTCACCTATCGCAACATTAGCTAGTGAAAATTCTCGCTCCGAAATAGATCTTTCTATTGTTGACACAGTTAAACCCGTTTCTTTGTCGAAACCAACTACCACAGATCTACAAAACGTTACTACTTATCAACTCTTTCGTTATGCCACTCCTAGAGATATCTGCATGATGTTTTTTGGATCCATAGCTGCCGTAGCTAATGGTTCATCTATGCCTTTGATGACAATAGTTTTCTCGGACGTTATTCAAGCATTTGTTACCTTCACTATCGTGACTTCAAAAGGATTTAGTGAGACCGCAAAAAATGATTTGGAAGACGCAGTAGTTGATAAAGTAATACTTTTCTTGATACTTGGAGGTGTAGTTTTCGTTGCAGCTTATTTTCAAATGGTATTGTGGATGATTTCTGGTGAAAATCAAGCAAAGGTATAAACCGTATAATAAATTGTATATAATAAACAACTACATGCTATATAATAAATTGTTTCCTCGAAATTTATTTGTTTAAACAATAGCGCCTTCGTCAAATTTATTATCACTCAATTCTTCGACAAGATATTGCATACTTTGATTCAAACTCTACCGGTGATGTCACTAGTCGTATATCTTCTGATATTAATCTTTTCCAAGAAGGTGTTTCCGAAAAAATTGGTGTAATTATTCAAAATCTTTCAACCTTTGTCGCCGGTTTTGTTATTGGGTTCACTAAAGGTTAATTAAATAATAATAGTCGTTATTGTTGTTATTATTTATTAATAATTGTTTTCATTTTAACAATATATATTTTTTCTATTCTAGGATGGAGACTTGCACTTGTTTTATGTTGTGGTATGAGAAATTTGTTTCATTTAATTTCATTTTAATTTATTTTATTTTTAATCATATTAAAATTCTTTTACGTTATAGTGCTTCCACTTTTGGCTACAGCCTCTGGTATTATGGGTAAATTTCTCGCTGCTTCTTCCAAAGATGGGCAAGGTAAATTATTATAATATCTAAATATTTTCAATACTTTCAAATGGTTTTAATAATTTTTTATTTGTTTCCATAATTTTCATAATACAGATGCCTATGCAAAAGCTGGATCAATAGCTGAACAGGCATTATCAGGAATTCGTACTGTGACGGCTTTCGGTGGCCAAGAACGTGAATTACGACGTTACGTTGATAAATTACAAGATGCTTACATTATAGGCCGCAAGAAAGCCATTATTACAGGCTCGAGTTTAGCATTTATCTTTTTTACCCTTTTTAGCACTTATGCCTTGGCTTTTTGGTATGGAGGTATCTTGATCGCAGATGGTAAAGCTAATGGTGGTCAAGTAGTTAATGTATTCTTTTCGGTTCTTATTGGAGGTAAATATATTTTTTATTTTATTAGTAAAAAAAAAAAATAATAATAATTTATTTTGTTATAATTTAAAAGTTCTCATCATCAACACAACTTTCGCGTTTCATAATAATAGCCTTTTCACTTGGTAACACTGCACCAAACTTAACTGCACTTGCAAACGCTCGGGGAGCTGCAAAAAAATTATTTAGTGTTATTGATCGAGTTCCCGTCATTGATTCTTCTGATCCATCAGGTTTAAAACTTAAATCCGTAAAAGGTCGCCTAGAATTTAGAAATATTGATTTTAGTTATCCATCTCGTCCTGATGTCCAAGTTCTTAAAAACTTTAATCTTACCATTGAACCTGGTCAAACTGTGGCCTTGGTGGGTAGTTCTGGTTCCGGAAAATCTACTATTGTTGGTTTATTAGAAAGGTTTTATAATCCCCTTAAAGGACAAATTTTTATTGATGGTGAAGATATCAAAAATATTAATATTAAATCAATGAGAAGTAAAATTGGTTTAGTAGGTCAGGAACCAGTATTATTCCCTCAAACTATTAAACAAAATGTCGCTTGGGGTGCTGTACCTGATGATCCGGAACCAACTTTAGATGAAATTATTGACGCATGTAAGAAATCTAATGCTCATGAATTCATCATGGATTTACCTGATAAATATGAAACGGAAGTTGGTGAAAAAGGTTCATTAATGTCAGGTGGTCAAAAGCAAAGGTTGGTTTATTAATATTCATTCTGTTTATATTTTTCTCTACAAGAAATCAATTTGGTAACAATCAATCATTTGTTTAATTGTTTAGAATTGCCATCGCTCGAGCTTTAATTAAAAATCCTTCAATCTTATTACTTGATGAAGCGACATCAGCACTAGATACAGAATCAGAACGTTTGGTTCAGGATGCATTAGATTCTGCAGCAACCGATCGAACGGTTGATATCTCTATCATATTTCTTTTAACGTATATATATTCTATTTCTTTTTCTGAATTATGATTTATCTAATTTTTAAAATATATTATAGACCATAGTGATAGCCCATCGTTTATCCACCATAAAAAATGCAGACAAAATAGTAGTCATGTCAAAAGGTGAAATTATGGAAATTGGACGTCACGACGAATTAATTGCCAAAGGAGCATTTTATCATAGTTTAGTACAAGCACAAGAACTGAAAACAAACAACGGGAAAGAGGAAGAGGACGAGGAAGAGGAAGAGGAAGAGGAGGGAGAAGACGAAATGATAAAAATTAATGTTGAAAACGAAAAAAAAATGACAGATTTACGAAAATTGACTACTAAAGCATCCACAGCATTTTCGTTGGAAATTAAAGAAAGTGAATCAGCGAAGAAAGTCAAACAAGCGGCACCATTTAAGAGAATTTTGAAATTACAACGACCAGAATATCTTCTAATGGTAGCAGGAACTCTTGGCGCAATTATTAACGGTATTTATTTATTTATTTTATTTGCGTGAACTTTAGATCAAATATTAAGTATTAAATTTTTTTTTTTTTTGAAATAGGTGCAATTTTTCCATTCTTCTCAATAATTTTTTCATCAATTTTGAATTCATTCTCTAAAACCGATGTGTATGATATTACGATTTATTAATTTATCAAAAAAAAAGTTTTTTAAAATTTCAATATTTAATAACATTTATTAATAATATATTTTAAAATATTATTAGAAATGAACTTCGTCGTAGTTCCAACTTGTGGGCTCTCATGTTTTTTATCTTAGCTGTGATAGCATTTATTGCCAATTTTATGCAACAATACTTTTTCATACTTTCTGGAGAAAAACTTACCAAACGATTACGTTCTATGACTTTTGAAGCTTTGTTAAAACAAGAAATTGGATTTTTTGATGATGAAAATAATGGTACAGGTATATTAACTTCAAGATTAGCAACAGATGCTACTAAAGTCGATGGTCTCACTGGTACTCTTATGGGTAGTATTTTACAAAGTATTACTAATCTGATTGTTGGATTGGTAAGTATTATCATTATTATTATTTTTTTTTTCTTTTGTGAATTTTTTTGAGTGAATTTGAGGAATAAATTGATAATTTATTTATTTTAGACTATTGCATTCGTATATGGTTGGAAGTTGACATTGGTAATTCTTGCTTCAACACCTGCTATTATTGCGTCAGGATTTCTTCAAATGCAAGCGTTAGCAGGATTTAGTGCCAAGGTAAAATTAATTCTATTAACTAATATTTGATTGACCTACAATATTTATTAAGATCTATTAATTAATCTTTTACTTTAATATAGACTGCTTCAGCATATGATAAGAGTAGTCAAATTGTTCAACAAAGTGTTTCCAACATTCGAACCATTGCTTCATTAACTCGGGAAAATACCTTTAAACATCTTTATGGTGTATCCCTCCAGAATCCACATAAAATTGCCGTCAAAGGAAGTATGGTGTCATCTATAGGATTCGGGTTATCAAATGGATTATTATTTTATGTTTATGCGTTGGCCTTTTGGTATGGAAGCCGATTAGTGGGAGCTCAAGAATATACCACGGGAAATATGATGAAAGTATTATTTGCTGTGGTTTTTTGTGCCATAGCTGCTGGTCAAGCAAGGTAAATATAGTATTACTTATATTATTCAAATTTACTACTCGTTATTTCAATATATATATATATAATTAAATTAAAAAAATTCTTTTTTCTAAATAGTACTTTTGCACCAAACACTGCCAAAGCAAAAGTTTCTGCTTTATCAATATTTGAACTTTTGGACCGTAAATCTAATATCGACCCAACTCAAAACGAAGGCAAAGATCGTCCAACACCAGTAATTGGTACAGCTAGTATTCATAATGCAAATTTCAATTATCCAGCCCGACCCAATCTAAGAATTCTTCGTGGTCTTGATTTATCCATATTAACTGGTAAAACAGTAGCATTAGTTGGTGGATCAGGATCTGGTAAATCCACCGTAGTTTCATTATTACTTCGATTTTATGATGTTCGAAAAGGTGATGTAAATGTCGAAGATGTAAATGTGAAACAATGGAATTTGGAATATTTACGTAGAAATATGGCATTGGTGGGTCAAGAACCAGTATTATTTGATCTTAGTATTGGAGATAATATTGCATATGGTAAAGAAGGATGTACTCAAGAAGAAATTGTGGAAGCAGCTAAGAAAGCGAATATACATAATTTCATTATGGGATTACCGGAAGGATATAATACATCAGTAGGAGAAAGAGGTACACAGTTAAGTGGTGGTCAAAAACAGGTAAATACTGAAATACTGTATTATTGTTTTATATATATATATATATATATATATTTGTCTTTTTTTCTTTTTATTTAATCTTTATAATCTTTATAATATAACCTTTATAGCGTATTGCCATAGCAAGAGCTTTAATTCGAAACCCTAAAATATTATTGCTTGATGAAGCTACTTCTGCATTAGATTCGGAATCTGAAAAAGTTGTGCAAGATGCATTAGATAAAGCATCCGCTAACCACACGGTAATTATTTTAAGAATAATAATAATATTTACTTTTTTTAAAAAATTATTCTCATTTTCTTTTTTTTTTTACTTTATTTTTACTTTATTTCCGTTAAAAAAAGACGATAACGATAGCACATAGATTATCTACAATACAAAATGCAGATTTAATATTAGTAGTAAAGAAAGGTCGTATAGCGGAACAAGGCAAACATTTCGATCTAATAGCAAAACGTGGACTTTATTACGAATTAGTAAACAAACAAATGTTGAATGGCAATAATTAAGTAATCAAAATGAAAAAAAAAACTTTGGTTTGTAATTAATAGAGTGTAGAACATTTTAGAATTTATATATGGAATATTCTGTAATATGATAAATTAGATTAAATATTAACTGTAATATGATATTAAATAAATAAATTTATTTGATAAAAATACTAAATAAATTTCTAACTGGCCTTGTGATTTGTTGAAGGATTTTTAGAAAAATTTGCATTTCTTGATATATCCTTTTTTATATATATATACTACAGTGCGAAACCTCTATAATAGGAACTTGGTTATTATAAAAAATTGTTGCATTAAAACTTTATTTACTACATATAGAAATAAAATTTTAACTGCAAAAATTGATAATTATCGGTTAAAATTTTGATCAGATCTAAATTGATCAACTTTTACAGGGGTTGTAAAAATAGTAAAACATTATAATTTTGCTTAAAAAACTGTTCCTGAAGTTTTATATTTAATTTTTTTAATTACCATTTGAAAATATGTACAAAATCTTGAAGGTATATATATATATATATATATATATATAGAAAATGTATTACTGAAAAAATGGCAAGATATGTAATTAAAAACTATAAATCTTATTTTCATGTACTTGATACAATTTATAATGAAATCAAATAATTAAAATTTCAATAAATAATTTATAATGAAATCAAATAATTAAAATTTTAATAAATAAAATAATTTTTAAATTCATAATCCTTATTCATATGGGCTAATTTGTTTCACTTCGATTATATCACCTGCTTATGATATACATTCAATTTTGTCACCTGGAACTGATCATCAACTCAAACATAGTGATACGATCCGGATGATCCATCCGATCCGTTCAATATGCAGATCATCCGTTCAATTCACAAGTCATCTGTCCAATCCGCAGATCATTTGTTCAATCTGTGAATTATTTTTCTATTTATCCACTTCTCCTGTTTCTTCCATTTATATTACCATTTCTATATTATCCACTTTTCCCATTTCTATATTACCACTTCTCTATTATTATCCACTTCTATATTATCCACTATTATCCACTTTTCCTATCTCTATATTACCTACTTCTCTATTATTACCTACTTCTATATTACCAACTTTTTCCATTTCTATATTAATTCACTTTTCCACTTCTATATTATTCACTTTTTCTGCTTCTATATTAATCCACTTTTTCCAATTTTCTATTTCTATATTACTCACTTTTCTCATCTCTATATTATTCACTTCTTTATTATTATTTACTTCTATATTATTCACTTTTCTCATCTCTATATTATTCACTTCTCTATTATTATCCACTTCTATATTACTTACTTTTTCCACTTTGATATCTGTGAATTGAATTATTAATCCGTGAATTTAATAGATAATTTGTAGATTGGATCATTAATCTGCAAATTGAATCATCAATCCATAGATTTACTAGATAATCTGAATTATTTATTATTCAATTCAGATCACCTGAAAGTTTTAGAAAAAGTGATCCATTCATTCATAAGATCATGGATGATCTGTTGGATTGATGGAATAGTTATCTATGGATCATATCTCTACACTCTCTTCTATACATTTTTTTTAAAAAACTGATATGTTGTGATTTGATGATCTTGATAATATTCACAAAATTGATAATATTTTTTTTTATAATAATTTTTATACGCGAACCCAATATTCTCACCAACATCAATCTTACATTTATTCTCCTGTATACTTTTCAATATTAGCTTAAAATTTTAAATTACATTTTATAACAAATTTTAAGATAAAACTTATTTAAAAAAAGAAGTCATAAACTTTTCTAGTTCATTCTGTTTGTGATCAGAAAGATTTTTTGTCTCTATCTATATCTGAATGACTTTTTTCACTATAAGCAAAGAATTGTTAATCATCTTGATAAGAATAAATTAATGAGAACAATTTTTACTATATAAATTTTATTTCAGATACTTTTAAAAATAGATCAATAAAGTACATATCAAAAATTCTTTCTATATGAAATATATTACCATATATATTTATCTAACCATTACTATAATAATAATATTCATGATATTAAATAAGGAAATGCTAATGGGTATAATTTAAGATTTTTATTAAAAACTTACAAGATATTCAAACACTCTTCAATATATTACATGTTTTATCATATATATCTACTATATCAGTTTCAATATCAAACAAAAAGCAAATATCCTTAATTCCTTAAGTATACTTTTCTTTACTGAATTTTTTAAGATTAAAAATTTTTGATTAAGTACCTCCAGCAACATTAGAATGGATGGATTCAATTGTGATTCTTTTTTTATAATTTTGATATATATTTTCTGAAATTTTGAACTTCAATATTCAAAAGAAATTCACTGGCACAAGGATGATTGGAATACAGGAAAATATCCTTAGCTCTAAAGTCAACAATACCTCAGCACAACAGACTATATAATAACATGTTAGTGAAGAATTCAAAGATGCAAAAATACTAATTAATATATAAAAATACTAATTAATATGCATATTATCAAACAAGCTATTTTATTTTCTCATATATTGCTAATTCCTTTTATTAACTTATCATAGAGAGTAAATGAATTGTCAATCTTAAGGCTTTTTCAAAAATCCTTTGTAATAAAGAATAAAAAATAAAAAAGAAATCCTATAATCAGATCATGATATCATGATTTGAAAATTATCTCTTCTTGATCTTTTTGTTTTCTCTTCTTTGATCTTTCAAATATTTCAATATTTTAAAAGTTGTATTATTTAATCCTATATCTACTACAAAACTATTCACAATTTTTATATTATAAACATGAACTGAGAATTTGTCAACTAACTTAGACTCATTCTTCTACCTTTGTGTAATGTGATGGTTAGGCTAATCATCCTTAAATGAAAAGAAATAAAGTTAATAATATCCAGTGTTTTTGCAATTATTCATCTTCTTCCATCAGATTAATTAAAAGTTTTAAACAACAAACAAAGAAACTGGAAGTTTGTCTGTGTCTGATAGGACCAATATTAGGTATACCTGCCACCCAAATTTAAAATCCAAATGCCGAAATCCCAAATGCCAAAATCCCAAATCCCAAATCCCAAATTATGATTAGTATTTTTTGCCGA